CTGTTGATAGTGGTGTAAGATAATAATACATTTCAGACCGCGTCCTACCTTTTCTGACTTTTTCCGATAAAATGTTTTGAAATGTGTTTATTAAATTGTTTGATTTTTCATTTCTCATTGAAAGATATAAAGATAAAAATTCAAAACTCTCCAGAATAGTGTCATGTTATAGTGAGATGTTATTTTAGCGTGACATGGCAACTAATATGATAATTAATGTTGCTTAGGTTATTGACCTTCATTGGAGGGAGTACATTTATAGTAAAACAGCTACATATATAAATGTTGTCTGTACATATAGGAGGGTTGTTCAAAAAGATAGAGGACAAAGATTCTTTCCTCATAATGTCAACAGGAGAGATGCAGTCCCATTATTTTTCGAACAAGCCTCGTATATGGGGTGTATACTTGCACAAAAACACTACTCATTATCTGCTTTCTGTATAGTGACAAAATCACAAGTCATGTTAGAATGGTAAATACAAATAAAGATTGGACAGACTGTGACATCAATGTATTATAGATATGATCCAACAAAATAATCAAGGATGAACTTCTAAATGACCTCTTTATGTTTGAACGATAAAGTGTGAATTAACAACATGAAACTTAGAATTGTGACTCACTTTTTTTAAACATGTTAAAAGATGTGACAAGAACAAAGTCTTTAAGAATTGAAATGTCAGTGTATTAATACAAACATAAATAGCTGCCACTAGGAGTTCCTAAATTGCTTTAAGTTCTTTGATTGCGTATTTTATATCAATGATAAAAAAGATAATCTAACCTGCTCTTGAAAGTCAACAAATATTTAGAGTTTGATGTAAATAACATTAACAGTTTTTGAGAAAAAAGGCAAATATTCTAGGTAAGAAAAAAGGAAACAATTCAGCAAAAATGACTTTCAGCATTATCTTCCCCTTAGAAATGCATTTCAAATTTGAAAAGTGGAGCTAAAAAGGACATACTTATGAGACTTAGATATTGCACATAGCATTTAGAAAGTTCAAGAAGAACAATATTTCATTAAAAAAAGATACTGTGAGTTATGGGCCCTGGACAATGACCTCATTTTACAATCTTGAAGATATGTAATCAATTCAGAGCAGACACTTTCAGTAGAAATGATGTTACATACAAAACTTTAACCAGGAAGATTACAAAAGGCAATTATTAAATGAAAATCAACCTCCAATTATGATCCCAGACACAAGTATAAAGTTTCAAGTGAATACATGTAGTTGTTTTGAAGTTGAACTTTTTTAAATTTGATGATGCATACAAAATTTTAACCAAAAATTTTCTATGTTCACTAAGGCTCATGATTCAGTTAAAATACATACAAGAGTTATGGGCCCTGGAAAATGACCTCCAAGTTTGGTCACCAAGACATGTATTGAGATTTAAGTAAAGACCTTGAGTAATGTTAACTGCAAAGTGTTAACTCAGAATTTTCTAAGTTCTAAAAGGGCCTTGATTTTTACTCAAAATGCATGCTAGAGATACGTGCCTTGTAAAACCTCCAGTTATGATGTCAAATATGTGTGTGTGTAGTGACATGGAATAAATCTCCAGTGGTCAATAAGACAACAGGCTGAACATAAAATTCTAACATTACTGTTATGGAGACATGTGGATGTGTAGGATAGCCCCACTTAACTTTTCAAATAGTCAAACTAATAATAAAATAAAACATTTAACATTAATGTTAAACAATACAACATTTAGTAAACACTGCTAAAAGTAAAGAAGTATACTCATGATTTATATGTTCAACCCATATATATCTCTGATCACAGATTTCAATAAGACTGTAAGACAATGTTGAGCAAAGAAAATGAAGGAAAAAGATTATAAGAGCAATATTAGGATATCAACCCGTACAATAGACAGAAATTTAAGTAAAGTACATTTTCCAAATATAAATTATAAATAATTAATTATAAATATATTGTGGTTCTGTATATAGGAAATAACAACAACAAGATAACTATCAAATTTTACACATAAAACCAATTCAAAATCATAGTTACTATTTATTTCTATAAAAAAAAATTGTATGTTGCTACATGAATCATACTCCTCTATAATTCAAGTCTATATAACAGACTTAAACAATTTAAAGACTATATTTTATTCTTTTTAACCATATTCATTTTCAAGGATTATTTATCTTTTTTTTCTTTTTCAAAATTACCTGCATTACACTGTGCATTTAGGAAAGTTTTCAATGCATGCCCTTTTAACAAAATAGTAGTATGTCACTTATAATCAAAGTCTAATATATCAAGTGATATGGTTAAAACAGGAGTAAACCTTTATGCAAGTATCTACACAATTAACTCCACAGAGATCCTACAATCTAACTTTACTTCTTACCAAAATTTCCATACTCCCAGTTTCTTGAATTGAGTTTATAGCAACGAAAATTTATCATAATATCTTTTAACAACTGTTTTGCTTAAATATCAATTGACAGCTACTCTATGCTAATAAAGAAACCTTAACAAAAAATTATCTCCTTAATTTGGGAAGTTAAACAAAGTTAGAAAATGGGTCAAAGACAGAAAAGGCCGGGTTGCATTTGTAGTTGTACACCAAATATCATGAGGCTGTGATGTTACGAAAAAAAATTTCCATTGACCCATTAATGTCGAAAATTTAATTCAGTAGGTAAACAGGTAGTGGATTAGCTACACACCTAAAATCGAATCCCACAGTATGGGACCATGTGTCAATGCTGTTTGCCAAATATCAAGAGGCTGTGATTAGTAGTTTCTGAGAAAAATGTTACGAAAATTTCCTACCATTGACCATTAATGTGAACAGGAAGTGGATGAGCTGCAGACTTGAAATCGAATCCCACAGATGGGACCATGTGTCAATGCTGCATGCCAATATCAAGAGGCTGTGATAAGTAGTTTGCTGAGGAAAACTGTTACGAAAATTTCCTACCATTGACCATTAATGTCGAAAAATCTAACTAATTTAAACTAAGTGGATAAACAGCCGAAGTGATATGAGCGACAGACCTGAAATCTAATCCCACAGTATGGGGACCATGTGTCAATTGCTGTATGCCAAATATCAAGAGGCTGTGATAAGTAGTTGCTGAGAAAACTGTACGAAAATTTCCTTCCATTGACCATTAATGTCGAAAAATCTAACTAATTTAACTAAGTGGATAAACAAGAAGTGGATGAGCGACAGACCTGAAATCCAATCCCACAGTATGGGACCATGTATCAATCTGTATGCCAAATATCACATACTGTTAGTGGAGACTTGCTGGATGTTAGGATAACCCCATTACCTTTTTCAAAAAATAGTAACTAATTAATAATAGATAAACAAATTGGAATTAATGTAAACAATACAACAATAACACTGCCTAAAAGTAAAGAAGTAACTCATGATATAGTTCAATCATTATATCTCTGATCAAATTTCAAAAGGCTGTAAGAAATAGTTGGCAAAGAAAATGAAGAAAAATTTTAAGAAAAATTTAATTAAAAATATCAACCTAACAATGGAACAAGAATTTAAAGTAAAGTCATTTCCAAATATAAATGTATTAATCTATTATAAATATATTGAGGCTGTAAAATAGGCTAAAAAACAGTTACAAAATTTTACACATTAAAACCATTTCAAAAAAGTTACTATTTATTTCTATAAAAGGAATTGTAATGAGCTACCATGAATCCAATCCCACTATAATTCAAGCTGTATATATCAAGAGCTGTATAACAGTCTTGAAAATTTAAAGATATATTTACCTTTTTTACCATATTCATTTTCAAAATATCTAACTAATTTTTTCTATTTCAAAAAGTACCTGCAATCACACTTGTGCATTTGGATAAGTTTTCAATTTGGCATGGCCTTTTGAAAAAATTGTAGAAAATATGTCACATTTTTTAAAAAATCTAACTAATTTAACTAAGGGATCAAAGGAATGGTTATGGGGTACAGCCTTGAATCAATGTATGGGACCATTATAAATCACAAAAATCCTATCAATCTACTTTAACTTTGCTAATTAAAACTGTTTCCCGAAAATTTCCTACCTCTTGAATTAATTTAACAAAACTAAAATTTAAGTAGCTTTAAACAAACTATGTAGACTATAAATCAATCCCAATATACTGCTTAATGCTTATGCAAACCTTAACGAAAGTATCTTATTTAAACATTATTTGGGAAGTTAAACAAAGTTAGAAAATTAGTGCAGTAGCATTTTCTAGAATATGCCATGCGAAATTGTTATTACTAAACAATAATTAATCATTACATGCAACATGTATCCAACAAAAAGTTCTGTTCCTTCAGCCTATACCAATATATATTACACGAATATATACTTTAGGCTTAAGAAAAAAAACTTTTTGCCTGAACATCCACTCATTCAACAAATTTAATTCTCTATCATTAATTACAGCTACTATAAAAGATAATACAGGTGACATGTTGTTTATCAGTCATGAATATACAATTGAATATAAGCTACAAGCTCTACTGTAGGCATTATATTATATCTTATTTAAGAATACATTGCATTAAGTAAATTTGCTTTATTGATTGACCCTTAATAAATGTTTGTCACCAAGTACAAAATTTAAACCCTTAACCATGACAAGCATCTGACATTAAAACTTACTTAAATATTCTAGTCAACAAATTAGTCTCAACAGGAGCAATTTATTTCATACCAGGAGACAAAAACATTGCTAATAAATATGTAGTAATAACTATTGAATACTAAATAGAGGATATTCAAGTTTTTTTCTATAAATACATAGAGGATATTTAAGTTCTGTAAATACAGAATTAATTTTCATTGAGTGGTATGAAAATAAATATTTCATTAGTGGTGGTAGCCACGAGTAAAATATGATAACTTTCATTCCACAAGATGAAAATAAATCCTGTATTAATGGAAAAAACTTAAATTTTCTGTTTATTATATACATTTTTGTCTTTTTTGACATTACAATTAAAAATGATATGTTAAAATGAGTATGTATGTTGTATAACAAGTCAATTATGTAGGAATAAAATAAACAAAATCTAGCATAAGCAAATTAAAGCAATACAATAATAAACTTGATTAGCTGTTATATTAGTGGAGGTAAACTTTGTGTTAAATATACAGATCTAGTTGCTTCAATCAAAACTGTTCTAAATTGTCCTTCATATTCTTTCACACATTCTGACTATCTTGAAATCAGACAGACTTTATCAATAGTGATTGAGTGAGTCCTGTGTTGTCATTGGAAGTATACTATGTTGTCATTGGAGATCACTTTCAAACTGTTGGCAGTAAAATTCTATGCATAAAATTATGACATGATTTGTTTATAAATCTACTCTGAATGTTCTTTTCTGCCATTTTTTTGTCATCACTGATATGAAATATGCCCATTTAGTATGGTCAGTATAGTTTTAGAGTCAACTTTTGACATGGCATCTGCTTCCCTTTATGTTTTAGGTGATTTTTGTCATTTCTAGACCTTTACTAATTAGTCAAAATATTAATTTTTCAAATCTGTAACAGAAAAATATCAATGACACATCATAATTATTTCTATCAATGACAGCTCTAAATATTTATTCTTCTAACCGTGAAAAATACTCCTTACCATTTATTTCAACAATATAAAGTTAACAGAAGAGACATTACAAAATGATCAACAATAGTTACTCTTTTATCAAAATACAGCTTAAAAATAACAAAAAAAATATTAAATAGAAAATGAATCTTTGTTTGAAACAGAATTGTTTCTATTTATATCACTTTATAGAAAATGCATTAATAAGGAAATAGATATCATCTTTGAGTGCATTGTTGAAGAAAAATGCAGTTTCCAGTTCAAATGCGAATAAATACTATCAAGAAGGCTGGTAGGCCTAAGTGATGAATTACAAATAATTTGAATGATTTAAAACATATCATTCCAAACATTATACAAAGGGAAATAACCTACCTACAAAAAGAATATATTACAAGGCAGTTTATCACACACTGATCACAAATTTTAGAAAACAAGAAAGTGTTTGGTAAACACAAAAGCCCCAGGCTCAAATTTTTACCTGTAACAATTTTTCAAATAAGGTTTACCTATCACTCTATTATGGACACAAAAATGCCCAAAAAATTGTAAACACAGTTATATAACTTGACAAAGTCATGACGTTTTGTTAATGTGAATAATATAAGTTGGCATGTCATTGCATAAGTGACCTTAATATTGCTATTAGATGAAATTGAAAAGAATTCAACTTAGCAACAAAAATTTATCAAATATATATAAATACAAGACCATGACCTACAACCAAGTGACCCCATACTCCACCCTAACAGAAAGGAACAACTGAGGTGATGGAATTATGAAGCTGTAAGTACAGATAGAACTTTAGATATATCCAACTTGTCGTTTTAGGTTAACCAGATCCATTTTCAAAGTGCTGAAAAAGGGCAATAACTTTGACAAAATGGAAGCCATAGTTATGTAACTTGCCCAGATCATGTACTTTGTACTGATTACTGTAAATTACTAAGCCATTGGTACAGGTCAAACTTTAAATAAATCCCATTTGCCAGTTTAGGTTAACCTTGTACGGACAGATGGATGGACAGTTCAACTACTATATGCCCGTGTGGCATAAAAAAATCCTGATTCCATGGCAACAGCTGTAAACAACATCTTTAATAAAAGTGTTATATTACTATAATTTCATCTGTATACACAATTTTGTTTCTATCACTCAATTTATATTCAATAAACATTTGTTTCTAAACTTTTTCATAGCCAATAATTTTACTCCTCTTTAATTTTGTTTCAGTAAAAATACTATGACAAATATATGCTTCTATACTGCTGTAATTCTCAAATCTATACAATAGAAAATTTCAACACTATGTTTCATCATAGCTTCCTCACAATTAGGTCTACAATTTTCACATTCTGCCTCGAACTAGTTTAAACATACGAGATGATGAATATATATATATATATACAGAATACAGAATATGGACTATATGTGTAAATAGCAGTGATTATAATTCTCGTATAGGTAGATGCAACTGTAGTGGGTCCCGCAGTCTGCAGAGATCCGACTCGCGCTGTGCAATGAGGTTAGACAGACGGTTATATTCCTCAATATCAAAGCCTTCTTTTCTTGCCAACTTGTAAAATTTGTTGATGAATTCCCTATCCCAGGCGTCAACATAGTTATACTCCTGAAATAAAATAACCATCAAATATTTTAAGGGTTTACCTATGACAAAACTATAAAACATACTACTGGCATGTCTGATAATAAAGTAGAGCTCACCTTACTAAAAAGGCTATACAAGAGGGTCATTTATAATTTATGTAACAGATGCACACCCATATAATCTATGTAACACACGTGCCCACTTTACCAGAAAACCTGTGTCATATGCACAAGTACTTGAGCTACCAGTCAATCCTGTAAAGTTTCATTGGAATTGCATTTGTGGTATAACAGGTGTATTCCAGACAAAATTTAAAAAATCAAAATTATTAAAGGACAATATGCATAACTGGACTTGGTACCAATTATTCCTGTAAAAATTGGATGAAAATGCAGAAGTAGTTTTTGAGGAGTAGTAGGGACAAATTTTGTGACAGATGGACAGACCGACAGAGAAGTGATCCTTAAATGTTGTCACTACTCTGTAGAGGCGACACAAAAAAGCCACATAAAATCTTAAGGAATGAATGACATCAAAGAAAAATTACATAACATATTGTTCCTGTAGCCAGCCATAAAAGTATTCATATGTTAGGTAAGCAAACAAGAGCTGTCGGTAGGATAGCAATGCTCGACTATTCTTAGTGCTTGATAGTAAAAGAGCCTTGATAAGGTAAAATTTTCTGAGTAAATAACAAAAGGACATATTTTTTTCTTTAAATACATGTTACAGTTATAGGCCTTGAAGAGAGTCCTTTTATGCTCTAAAGAAGAGTATAAAATTTCAACTTGTTTCAATAGAATATGAAATTATCTGAGGTGGTATGCAAACCTAAATGTAAATTCTAAGTTGAACAAGAGCTGTCGGTAGGACAGCAACGCTCGACTATTCTTAGTGCTTGATAGTAAAAAAAATGCTTGATACAGTTACCTCCTCCTGTTTACAGGTTGGGGTCATGATGTTGAACAAGTGTGCAAAGTTTCAGGTCATATGTCAATGGACTTTGAAAATATTTGAACTATTACAAAAACTTTAACGTAATTTCTAAGTCGAAAAAGGGGCTTAATTCTGTCAAAATGCTTGATAGAGTTACCTCCTTCTGTTTACAGATTGGGGTCATGATGTTGAACAAGTGTGCAAAGTTTCAAAGCCATATGTCAATGGACTTTGAAAATATTTGAACTATTACAAAAACTTTAACGTAAATTCTAAGTCGAAAAAGGGGCTTAATTCTGTCAAAATGCTTGATACAGTTACCTCCTCCTGTTTACAGGTTGGGGTCATGATGTTGAACAAGTGTGCAAAGTTTCAAAGCCATATGTCAATGGACTTTGAAAATATTTGAACTATTACAAAAACTTTAACGTAAATTCTAAGTCGAAAAAGGGGCTTAATTCTGTCAAAATGCTTGATAGAGTTACCTCCTACTGTTTACAAATTGGGGTCATGATGTTGAACAAGTGTGCAAAGTTTCAAAGCCATATGTCAATGGACTTTGAAAATATTTGAACTATTACAAAAACTTTAACGTAAATTCTAAGTCGAAAAAGGGGCATAATTCTGTCAAAATGCTTGATAGAGTTACCTCCTCCTGTTTACAGGTTGGGGTCATGATGGTGAACAAGTGTGCAAAGTTTCAAAGCCATATGTCAATGGACTTTGAAAATATTTGAACTATTACAAAAACTTTAACATAAATTCTAAGTCGAAAAAGGGGCATAATTCTGTCAAAATGCTTGATAGAGTTACCTCCTCCTGTCTACAGGTTGGGGTCATGATGGTGAACAAGTGTGCAAAGTTTCAAAGCCATATGTCAATGGACTTTGAAAATATTTGAACTATTACAAAAACTTTAACATAAGTGGTTACGCCGACGCCGACGCTCGGGTTGACTGCAATAGCTCTACTTATTCTTATCGAATAGTCGAGCTAAAAATGGGTATAATTCTGTCAAAATGTTTGATACAGTTACCTCCTCCTGTCTACAGGTTGGGGTCATGATGGTGAACAAATGAGCAAAGTTTCCAAGCCATATGTCAATGGACTTTGAAAATATTTGAAGTATTACAAAAACTTTAACGTAAATACTAAGTTGAACAAGAGCTGTCGGTAGGACAGCAACGCTCGACTATTCTTAGTGCTTGATAGTAAAAAAAAATGCTTGATACAGTTACCTCCTCCTGATTACAGGTTGGGGTCATGATGGTGAACAAGTGTGCAAAGTTTAAAAGCCATATGTCAATGGACTTTGAAAATATTTGAACTATTACAAAAACTTTAACGTAAATTCTAAGTCAAAAAGGGGCATAATTCTGTCAAAATGTTGATAGAGTTACCTCCTTCTCTCTACAGGTTGGGGTCATGATGGTGAACAAGTGTGCAAAGTTTCAAAGCCATATGTCAATGGACTTTGAAAATATTTGAACTATTACAAAAACTTTAACGTAAATTCTAAGTCGAAAAAGGGGCATAATTCTGTCAAAATGCTTGATAGAGTTACCTCCTCCTGTTTACAGGTTAGGGTCATGATGGTGAACAAGTGTGCAAAGTTTCAAAGCCATATGTCAATGGACTTTGAGAATATTTGAACTATTACAAAAACTTTAACGTAAATTCTAAGTCGAAAAAGGGGCATAATTCTGTCAAAATGCTTGATAGAGTTACCTCCTCCTGTCTACAGGTTGGGATCATGATGGTGAACAAGCGTGCAAAGTTACAAAGCCATATGCCAATGGACTTTGAAAATATTTGAACTATTACAAAAACTTTAACATAAGTGGTTATGTCGACGCCGACGCAGACGCTCGGGTGACTACAATAGCTCTACTTATTCTTATCGAATCGTCGAGCTAAAAAGGGGCATAATTCTGTCAAAATGCTTGATACAGTTACCTCCTCCTGTCTACAGGTTGGGGTCATGATGGTGAACAAGTGTGAAAAGTTTCAAAGCCATATGTCAATGGACTTTGAAAATATTTGAGGTATTACAAAAACTTTAACGTAAATTCTAAGTCGAAAAAGGGGCATAATTCTGTCAAAATGCTTGATACAGTTACCTCCTCCTGTCTACAGGTTAGGGTCATGTTGGTGCACAAGTGTGCAAAGTTTAAAAGCCATATGTCAATGGATTTGAAAATATTTGAGGTATTACAAAAACTTTAACATAAGTGGTTATGCTGACACCAACGCTCGAGTGACTACAATAGCTCTACTTATTCTTATCGAATAGTCAAGCTAAAAGGACTGACACTGCAAAAACTATACTGGGTGGGGAAGGGGGCCATAAAACAAGCATAAGGTCAAAATCTAATTTGTTGTAATTTAAGCTTCTGTGACCTAGATATGCAATTGACCAGAACCATTTGAATAACTGTTTGACCATCATGCAAGAAACATTTCTGAGAAGTTTTATCAAAGTTGATAATGTGGTTTCACAAGTGACTTTAAATGAATTGTGGATGACAGACTGTCAGGAAAGTCAAACATCATTAAAGCTCACACTTTCAAGCTAAAACTTACAAAACTAGAACATGCTGCTAATATGTATCTCCTCTTTGGAGCAAAGCTTCCTATAAAAGTTAATTAAATTCCCATCTGTGGCTGGTGAGAAATAGCCCAAACAAAATTCCAGGACGGACAAAGTGGCAGCCATAAATGATAAAGTCAATTTTGAGTATTTCTTAAATAATCACTTAGTAATGCTCAATATTCTAAACAAATTACTGTAGAATTTATATTTCAGTAACAATTCCTTTCATCAAAATCTACTTGATTCAAAATCTAGGTTATACATTAGTTACAAACTAAAAGTAAGTTGACCTATTTAACCAATAATTCTGACATGGAAGTGTTCTGTTTTGAATTGGGACTGTTATATGATGAATTCAGAAATACAAATTGAGAAAACTAAATTCAGCAACAAATGGTTTATATCCTGGTATGCTGTCTAGTTTCGCTCAACAGACACGGAATAATAGGTTGCCAACAGCACTCTGAGTATTTATAACAGATTTTTGCCACAACTAGTTTAGAGTCAGGGTCATTTTGTACAGCTTATAAATATGGATGCTCAAATGTCACCTTTTGATTTTGAGATACTGATAAAATTTATTTCAATAGATTAAAGAGAGCCACATATTTTTATACAAACACGACAGTACAATAATTCCATGTAAGTCCTACATGCTATGAAATATAAAACTGGTCACATACCTGTGCACACACAGTATAGTATGCATACATTCCAATGATAGCAGCATAAGTTGCGAAATAGGTGACAGGTTCCATCACATCCCATGAATACTCCCACCATGTAAGCCGGGCAAAAAACCCAAACTGTAAGCCCATTAATGTTGACCCTACATACATCGCTGTCGTATTTCTTGACACAATTTTCTGCTCCATCTCCGCCTTTTGCTGAAATGGTTACAAATATCAAGAATCAAATAATGTCATAGAAGTACAAACATAAAACAGCTGACAATATGACATAATTCTTCACTAGACTTCTTTTTATAAATATTTAATATACAGTCTAACTTGCCCATGCGACCACGTGTATTAAGCGACTTTTGTCTTAAACGACCACTTTAAATCCCTCCCGATTATTTTCTCTCTATATCTTTAATGTATTAAGCGACTTTTGCTCAACACGACCAGCGACCGCCAATGAGTCTCATAATTGAGATCAGTCTTTTCATTAAACGACCACTTTTACCTGTCAAGTAATTGTGTTTTTAGAGAACGCCACCTCGTAATGTCACAAGTGTCAACAATCAAACACAACAAATAAATGTGTGAAAAACTCTATTTCCCAAACCGTTTTAGCGTATGCAAAAGAAGTAAAGTATACTCGTGATGTGTATTATCCAATACAATCGGATTTAATTGCAGTTTTAAAGTAAATTGGATTATAATACCCTCAATAATGATGTTGATAGTATATAGTACATATATGACAACCAACCATGAACTTGGTATGAAGGAATTATTTATATATGGATGGTGTTGGTAAGCATGGAAACATGATCTGATATGACGTATATAGATTTACATGAAGCAGATATTAACATGTTATAGAATGAAATATTATAATTAAATGTATAATTAGAACACTATCACAATTTTTTTTGAGACTTTCTAAAAAATATATTTCATCAATATTTGAAATACTAATGGAAAATGTATCAACTGTAAACTAATCCACTTAAAATAATGCTTATCAAAACTTATTAAATACCAAAAGTAATGGGGCAATCTGCACTCTATACTCTTCCAAATCCTGAATTATTTCTTTCTCTCGCTTTAACTGGTATTCCTCTACATTAAGCTGAGAAAAAAGCTTGGCAGTCAATGCTTTTACTTCAGTTAACTTTTCAAAGCTCTCTGTAGGAAGTGTCATTTCTGGAAAAGAATAAAATCAGTGAGGAATAATGTTAAATAATGTCATGTCTCCAGTTACATTAGCCTTAGCAGACAAAACAAAACATGTTCTTTCATAATCTTTTATCTAAGAAAATACAAAAACAAATATTTCTGGGAAGTAAACTCATTCCATTTAGAGGCCTGTAAAAGAAAGAGGTCTTGTATTATCTTACAAATTCTAATTTCAAAAATTTAAAAATTGAATTATTCAACACGTTGATGTTTAGAATCATATAAAGAGTGTGTTTCATACAGACATGTTTTGACGGCTTTTCGACCCCCTCCCCCCTTTTGAGGCCTCAAACAGTAAAAAACTACCCTATTTAGGCCCCAAATACTGTTTTTCCTTTGGGAACTGTTGCCTAAATAAGTGATCACTTTTTCGGTGCCGTCTCCTATCAAAAAGGTACATCAGGGGGTTGCCAGAAGGGGGATTAGCCCCATTCTGTTTGGGGGGGGGGGGTTAAAGGGGGCGGTAGTCCCCCTTATCGCCAAGAAAATTTTGAACTTGTGAGAGGCTAAAAATGACCCCAGGTTGATCATAAGGTAATGTGTAACCAACGTTGAAAAGCCTTTGACTCTATCTCAATCCATTGAGAAGTTGCAGCACTTTGAAATTAATTTTGATGCAAAAAATCAACACAAAATAGCGATTTTTGGCAATTTTGAAAGGTCCCCTCGTTGCCATGGTAACAGGAAATTTAAGACTGAGCATGTCGGTACTAAGGCAATAGTCCAGTCAACATTTGTGCCAAGTTTGATTAGTATTGAAGCATTTTTCATAGTTTTATAGCAGTTTGAACTTGTAACAGGAGGCTTTTCAATGAAAACGGCCATTTTTTACAATATGCTCATGAGGGAAAGGGTTAACAAAGTACGATTCCGTTAATAACCACGTTAATTCAACACCCTAACCATGACAGTCAAGGTCATTGACAGGTCAAGATAAAACTTGAATAACTTAAGAAGTTGGTGCGGCAATGTAAGTGTTGTTTTGTACAAGTTTGATACAATAACAAAACTAGAAATATGACCATAGGACATGAGTGCCCCCACATTATACTGTTTTGTCAGTCTCCTGACAAACAGCAGGATAGTATGACAGACGGACAAAGGAAATTCTACATGATTTCCATACCCCTAAGTGGTTGGGGCATAAAAGCGACATCCAATTTTTCCCAAGTTGACATTTCGATTTTTCCCAATATTGAGCTGCAAGAAATTATATCCTTAAGTTTACTAAAAGAAAACAAGCAAAACCCCAGATGCACAAATAAACATACTGACCAACATTTCTGTAAAGTTCATGACTCTAGGTCAAAAACATTTTGGGCTATGCGCTACAAAAGTTGAAAATTGCAAATGTTTTAAAATTCAAAGGCAATAACTCTACAAACACTGCATAAATGCCCAAGCAAACCCCCAAGTGCACAACTTCACATGCTGATGAACATTTCTGCAAATTTTCATGATTACAGATCAAATACTTTTTAGCTATGTGCGACACAAGTTGAAAATTGCAAATTTGTATTAAGTCAAGGGCATTTACTCTAACTGAATTAATCAACATGCAAATTTTTTATATAATCTTGCTATATACCAAGTTTGATTACAATATCTCATATCAAACAATATCTCATTTCTAACTCTTTATTGTCCAAAAACCATTTTTCTACTTTAAGTAACAGTGACTTTGACCACAGGAGGTCCAAAGGCAATCCCAACTAGGGTCTTAATATAAGCTTGCTATACATCACTTTTGATTACAATATCTTATTTTTAACTCTAGTTAATGCACAGAAACCATTTTTCCACTTTTAGTTGACCTTGAGCCCAGGAACTCAAATTTGGGTTTCCACATAAGCTTGATATATACTAATTTTGATTAAAACTAGAACTATCACTAAATGTGATTAATACCCCCACAAGTCTGCTTCGGAAATGAGAATGTTACTAGTAACAGAATACCTTGTAAAAGAATTGAAACATAGAGTTATGGTTGTGGGCAATTAAAGATAATTGTGGTTCATGTATGTTGCATTTCCTTTCAATGTGGTTGGCCATTGATGAAGTTTAATTGAATTACTCTGTAATAAGTCCAGAAAGACAAAGAAAAAGAACAAAGGGCAATAACTCTATAAATACTGAAGATAGAGTTATAGTTCTTGTGCACTGCACTTCCTCTTATTGTGCTTGACCATTGTATGAAGTTGTTTTGAATTCCAACCAGTACGTTTTAAGTTATGCTCCGGACAAGGAAAAGTATCAAAGGGCAGTAACTCTGTATTTTGTCAAAATGGAGTTATGGCTCTTGTGCACTGCACTTCCTTTGAATGTCCTTGACAACTGTATGAAGTTGTACTGAATTCCAAACAGTAGTTTTCAAGTTATGCTCTGGACAAGGAAAAGTAACAAAGGGCAGTAACTCTGTAATTAGTCAAGATGGAGTTATGGTTCTTGTGCACTGCACTTCCCCTTATTGTGCTTGACCATTGTATGAAGTTGTTTTGAATTCCAACCAGTAGTTTTCAAGTCATGCTCTGGACAAGGAAAAGTAACAAAGGGCAGTAACTCTGTAATTAGTCAAGATGGAGTTATGGTTCCTATGCACTGCACTTCCTCTCAATGTGCTTGACCATTGTATGAAGTTATAATGAATTCCAACAATAAGTCTTCAAGTTATGGTCCGGACAAAAGAAAGCAATGGAAAAGTAACAAAGGGCAATAACTCTGTAATTAGTCAAGATGGAGTTATGGTTCTTGTGCACTGCACTTCCCCTTATTGTGCTTGACCATTGTATGAAGTTGTTTTGAATTCCAACCAGTAGTTTTAAAGTCATGCTCTGGACAAGGAAAAGAAACAAAGGGCAGTAACTCTGTAATAAGTCAAAATGGAGTTATGGTTCTTGTGCACTGCACTTCCTCTCAATGTGCTGGACCATTGTATGAAGTTATATTGAATACCAACAATTAGTCTTCAAGTTATGGTCAGGACAAAAGAAAGCAATGGAAAAGTAATAAAGGGCAATAACTCTGTCATTACTTTAGATAGAGTTATGGTTCTTATGCACTGCACTTCCTCTCAATGTGCTTGGCCATTGTATGTAGTTATATTGAATTTCAACCATTAGTCTTCAAGTTATGCTCCGGACAAACAAAGAAGGCAATTGAAAAGCAACAAAGGGCAATAACTCTGTAATTACTTTAGATAGAGTTATGGTTCTTGTGCACTGCACTTCCCCTTATTGTGTTTGACAATTGTATGAAGTTGTTTTGAATTCCAACCAGTAGTTTTCAAGTTATGCCACGGACAAGGAAAAGTAACAAAGGGCAATAACTCTGTAATTAGTCAAGATAGAGTTATGTTTCTTACGCACTGCACTTCCTCTCAATGTGCTTGACCATTGTATGTAGTTATATTGAATTCCAACCATTAGTTTTCAAGTTATGCTCCGGACAAGGAAAATAAAACGGACAAAAAAAAAAGCAATGGAAAAGCAACAAAGGGCAATAACTCTGTAATTACTTTAGATAGAGTTATGGTTCTTGTGCACTGCACTTCCCCTTATTGTGTTTGACAATTGTATGAAGTTGTTTTGAATTCCAACCAGTAGTTTTCAAGTTATGCCCCGGACAAGGAAAAGTAACAAAGGGCAATAACTCTGTAATTAGTCAAGATAGAGTTATGGTTCTTGTGCACTGCACTTCCTCTCAATGTGCTTGACCATTGTATGTAGTTATATTGAATTCCAACCATTAGTTTTCAAGTTATGCTCCGGACAAGGAAAATGCAACGGACGTCTGGACCGACCGACCGCCCGACCGACCACCGGGTGACTCCTATATACCCCCCCAAACTTCGTTTTTGGGGGTATAATAACTCATTCCTGATCCTTATTATTGTCTGTAAACAATTTTTCCATTTTTAGTAACAGTGACCATGACCCCATGGGGTCAAAAAGAAATCCCAACCAGGTTCTTCATATAAGCTTGCTATATACCAAGTTAAATTACAATATCTTATTCTTAACTCTAGTTATTGTCTAGAAACCATTTACCAGGGTCTTCATATAAGCTTGCTAAATACTAAGTTTGATTCCTAACTCTAGTTATTATCCGCAAACCATTTTTCTATTTTTAGTAACAGTAACCCTGGCTTAAACCCAGGGGGCCCAAAAGCAATCCCAATTGAGGTTTTCATATAAGCTTGCTAAGTAACAAGTTTGAAAGTTGTGGGCCAAATAATTCTCTATTTCATGAGCACTAACGTTTTCACATCCAAGATCACTGTGACCTTGACCTTCACACATGGGCACCATCAAAAAAACAAAAGTTTTGTTTTTTTAATCAATGAGGGTAATCATCCTATGATAAATGAAGGCTGTATGTCATTGTTCTCAAGTTATTGAAAGAAAACTGTTTCCACTGTTTTCAAATTCAAGGTCAATGTGACCTTTACCTTCAAGCATGGATGCCAAAACAATAGGAGTCTTCTACTCAAAGGATTGTGTCAAATGGTTTCATGAGTTGCTCTGAGGAAACTATGTTGCAGAGATGAAACTGATGGACAGATATACTGACAGACTGACCAACAGTTGCAACAATATAACCCTTTTCTTTGAAAGAGGACAAAATAAAGATACTGAAAGAGATAATTTTTTGACAGAGCTTACCTGGTTCTGGAGGGCTTATGGTGTATGAATTCTCATTAATAGTGACAGTGAAAGGGGATCTCAGCAGTATATCAATCGTAGTTGATCCAGCAATCTTTGCTCCATCTAAAAGTAAACAAGCCAATATGTTGAATTGAAATCTCCATCGAATGATTCAAATTTTCTTGGGGTAATATGTACCTCAGAGCATAATTATTATATGAGAAAACTCTTGTGCATATATGATGTAATGTCAAAAACTCAAGGAAAAGTCTAGGGCCTAACAACAGCCATTGTTTAGTTTCCATACTTGTCTCTTTGCAATGGATTATAAAATTATTGGCTGTACTGGATATTATTGAAGAAAATAGACATTTTGAGGTAATAAAATCATTATTAAATATTTCATTTTACACCACTGATGTCGTTTCCTTTTCCTCTTTGTTCTATTTTTTCATCACTGCTGCTCTTCACTATTTCGTACCCAGCTTTAAATTCCTTTCTTGTAAACATTCAAATGATACCATTCTATGCAATTTCTATTTGTTAATTTCTGGTGAGCATAATTATTCTTTTGTTCAATAAATTCAGTAATGGACCCGCACTAATTCAAATATTCTATGTATCACATACCCAAAATAAAGACTGTTTAAAGTGAAAAAGAATCACTTTTTCATTGACGCACCTATAGTGTAACACTAACATTTAGCGCATCATTACACTATATTTGTATAACGCAAATGATATCATGTCGTGCAATGCCATTTTTACGGATAGCAGAAGTGGCACAGGTTTGTGATAAAATTGATTTTTTTCCCTGCATTAACTAAAATTTATCATTTGACAGCAGTGTTTACATAAATACTAAGCAACAAGATTCCTTCCCCTGTTTTCTATTTTTAGCAACCATTATTACATAAAATAAATCATTAGTTGATAATTAACGTATGGCTGATTAGCTCCGTGGATGTGGCAGTTACTCTTCAAACAAAACATTGAAAGGACAGATAATTTATAATGATAAATGCGAGGTAAATCATGTTTTTAAAATTACTAACATTTGAGTAATAGTATTCAGCATATTAAATGATTAATAATGCTAAAAAAATGTAATGTAAGGTTTATTCTGTTTTTTCTTGTTTACAGGTCAAAATAAGAATTGATACACACTGGTATGTCTTTATTGGAGAATAAACTGGAGAATAAACAGAGGGTTACACATTCAATTGAATATGGCTATTCCTGGCATACAAAGTTAGAAGCTTGAGATATTTATATAGAGCATCTCTGCATTTGGGTTGTGACTGCCTATTCCTAAAGATTAGTTATGTTACAAAAGTGTAAAATACCTTCTAATTCATTACAAAATTAAATAAAATCTGCATGTATATTGAACTCTGATGGAAGTGATTAATGTGAATAATAGTCTATTACATGCAAGTTTAAAATGAGCCCCCTTAAGCCAAAGACTGACTGGATTTTGCTAAGAGTTTGTTATGGTTATATGAAAACTAATTTGTTTGTGCTGCCATTTTTTAATGCTGATATTTTATTTTTGTCACAGGTGTCTACACTATCTGTCTGTTTATTCTCCAGTTTATTCTCCAATAAAGACATACCAGTGTGTATCAATTCTTATTTTGACCTGTAAACAAGAAAAAACAGAATAAACCTTACATTACATTTCTTTAGCATTATTAATCATTGAATACTACTCAACGTTAGTATGGTGGCTTCCGGCGAGTGAAATAGGTGTTCAAAAAGTATGATTGAAAGAATTTGAGTCAATTTGCAGACATTGTACATAATCTGCAAGAAACAATTTCCCTGTTTCATTTCAGAAGGAAGACAATGATCAGACATGGAAATAGTTATAAATTTCTACAAAAATTTAATTTAATTTTTGATAAATTGTAAATACAAGAGCGATCAGTAATCACATGTGTCGCCTCATGATGGCCAATTTCATGTTGGGACAAAGTTTGTGACAGACGGACAGTGCACAACTAGACTTGGTACTGATCATTCCTGTAAAGTTTGGATAAAATTGCACCAGTAGTTTATGAGGAGTAGTCCGGACAAGCTTTTGCGTATCTGGCAACACACAGAAAAAACACCTTTTTATCAAAGGGCCATAACTCGGCCAAAAATCATTCAACCGGAAAACCCGTGCAATATGCGCAAGGACTTGAGCTACAGATCAATCCTGTAAAGTTTCATTGAAATTGCTTTAGTGGTATAAGAGAAGTAGTCCAGACAAACTTTAAAAATAAAAATTATTAAAGGGCCATAACTCTGACAAAAATCATTGAACCGGAAAATGCTGATAATATGCACAACTACCCTTGGTACTGATCATTCCTGTAAAGTTTAGATGAAATTGCACCAGTAGTTGATGAGGAGTAGTCCGGACAAGCTTTTGTGTATCTGGCAACACACAGAAAAATACACCTTTTTTTATCAAAGGGCCATAACTCGGCCAAAAATCATTCAACCGGAAAACCCTTGCAATATGCGCAAGGACTTGAGCTACAGATCAATCCTGTAAAGTTTCATTGAAATTGCTTTAGTGGTATAAGAGAAGTAGTCCGGACAAACTTTTAAATTAACAAGAGCTGTCGGTAGGACAGCAACGCTCGACTATTCTAAGTGCTTGATAGTAAAAAAATGCTTGATACAGTTACCTCCTCCTGTTTACAGGTTGGGGTAATGATGGTGAACAAGTGTGCAAAGTTTCAAAGCCATATGTCAATGGACTTTGAAAATATTTGAACTATTACAAAAACTTTAACGTAAATTCTAAGTCGAAAAAGGGGCATAATTCTGTCAAAATGCTTGATAGAGTTACCTCCTCCTGTCTACAGGTTGGGATCAGGATGGTGAACAAGTGTGCAAAGTTTCAAAGCCATATGTCAATGGACTTGGAAAATATTTGAACTATTACAAAAACTTTAACGTAAATTCTAAGTCGAAAAAGGGGCATAATTCTGTCAAAATGCTTGATAGAGTTACCTCCTCCTGTCTACAGGTTGGGGTCATGATGGTGAACAAGTGTGCAAAGTTTCAAAGCCATATGTCAATGGACTTTGAAAATATTTTAACTATTACAAAAACTTTAACGTAAATTCTAAGTCGAAAAAGGGGCATAATTCTGTCAAAATGCTTGATAGAGTTACCTCCTCCTGTCTACAGATTGGGGTCATGATGGTGAACAAGTGTGCAAAGTTTCAAAGCCATATGTCAATGGACTTGGAAAATATTTGAACTATTACAAAAACTTTAACGTAAATTCTAAGTCAAACAAGAGCTGTCGGTAGGACAGCATGCTCGACTATTCTTAGTGCTTGATAGTAAAAAAAATGCCTGATACAGTTACCTCCTCCTGTTTACAGGTTGGGGTCATGATGGTGAACAAGTGTGCAAAGTTTCAAAGCCATATGTCAATGGACTTTGAAAATATTTGAACTATTACAAAAACTTTAACGTAAATTCTAAGTCGAAAAAGGGGCATAATTCTGTCAAAATGCTTGATAGAGTTACCTCCTCCTGTTTACAGGTTGGGGTCATGATGTTGAACAAGTGTGCAAAGTTTCAAAGCCATATGTCAATGGACTTTGAAAATATTTGAACTATTACAAAAACTTTAACGTAAATTCTAAGTCGAAAAAGGGGCATAATTCTGTCAAAATGCTTAATAGAGTTACCTCCTGCTGTCTACAGGTTGGGGTCATGATGTTTGAACAAGTGTGCAAAGTTTCAAAGCCATATGTCTATGGACTTTGAAAATATTTGAACTATTACAAAAACTTTAACGTAAATTATAAGTCGAAAAAGGGCATAATTCTGTCAAAATGCTTGATAGAGTTACCTCCTCCTGTCTACAGGTTGGGGTCATGATGGTGAACAAGTGTGCAAAGTTTCAAAGCCATATGTCAATGGACTTTGAAAATATTTTAACTATTACAAAAACTTTAACGTAAATTCTAAGTCGAAAAAGGGGCATAATTCTGTCAAAATGCTTGATAGAGTTACCTCCTCCTGTCTACAGGTTGGGGTCATGATGGTGAACAAGTGTGCAAAGTTTCAAAGCCATATGTCAATGGACTTTGAAAATATTTGAACTATTACAAAAACTTTAACGTAAATTCTAAGTCGAAAAAGGGGCATAATTCTGTCAAAATACTTGATAGAGTTACCTCCTCCTGTCTACAGGTTGGGGTCATGATGGTGAACAAGTGTGCAAAGTTTCAAAGCCATATGTCAATGGACTTTGAAAATATTTGAACTATTACAAAAACTTTAACGTAAATTCTAAGTCGAAAAAGGGGCATAATTCTGTCAAAATGCTTGATAGAGTTACCTCCTCCTGTCTACAGGTTGGGGTCATGATGGTGAACAAGTGTGCAAAGTTTCAAAGCCATATGTCAATGGACTTTGAAAATATTTGAACTATTACAAAAACTTTAACATAAGTGGTTACGCCGACGCCGACGCCGACGCCGACGCTCGGGTGACTGCAATAGCTCTACTTATTCTTATCGAATAGTCGAGCTAAAAAGGGGCATAATTCTGTCAAAATGCTTGATAGAGTTACCTCCTCCTGTGTACAGGTTGGGGTCATGATGGTGAACAAGTGTGCAAAGTTTCAAAGCCATATGTCAATGGACTTTGAAAATATTTTAACTATTACAAAAACTTTAACGTAAATTCTAAGTCGAAAAAGGGGCATAATTCTGTCAAAATGCTTGATAGAGTTACCTCCTCCTGTCTACAGATTGGGGTCATGATGGTGAACAAGTGTGCAAAGTTTCAAAGCCATATGTCAATGGACTTTGAAAATATTTGAACTATTACAAAAACTTTAACATAAGTGGTTACGCCGACGCCGACGCTCGGGTGACTGCAATAGCTCTACTTATTCTTATCGAATAGTCGAGCTAAAAATTATTAAAGGGCCATAACTCTGACAAAAATCATTGAACCGGAAAATGCTGACAATATGCACAACTAGACTTGGTACTGATCATTCCTGTAAAGTTTGGATGAAATTGCACCAGTAGTTTATGAGGAGTAGTCCGGACAAGTTTTGTGACGGACAGACGGACAGACAGACGGACAGACAGACGACGGAGAAGTGATCCCTATATGTCGCCACTACTCCGTAGAGGCGACACAAAAAGTAGGCTTAAAATATACAAGCATATATAATTATGATACTCGCAGTCATTTACAGAGGAGTCACGCCGATTGCTAGAAATACACATACATAGTAGCAACAAACATAATAGGTATTGCTTTTATATGCAATTTAAAAAAAACACAAAAAAAAACTTAAAATATATTTTGCAAATAGGTGGTTTATAATCAAATTATTTTTGTGGAGCTATGCATATGTTAATTTACACTGTGGAACACTACTATATATTTCATACCGTAACACAATTTTGCAAAAAGAATATACTTCATATACATTATTAATGATATTTTGATAAAACAACAGTTTTCATTTTCACACAGGTCTGACTGGAAGTCATATTTGACTCAGTTTTTCTTCAAGTTAAAGGAAAACAGAGGTACCACAGCTTCAGATTTTCTGTTGAAGAAAAGTTGGCTGTTTTTTGCAAGGAAAGAACTCACAGCAAGTAGATTCAAGTTCCTCTAATAAGACGCAATATTGAGGTTCCCACAGCAACATTTCTCTACGTTATACAGCCTGCAAACTTCAGTCATACAACATGTACTTGATGCGAATAATTTAACCGTGATATGAGTAAATATGCATGTCCTGCTTATCAAAATGTCACGTGCCCAGCATACACTGAAGAGTGATTGTAAAGACTGTCCGTCGTACTGACTGTCTAAAGTGATGATTCCTTATTTTGTAATTGTGTTAAACTTTAATTGTTAACATGATTTGAATATTTAATGTTTGGCTGTGTGACCTTGACCTGAGGAAGGTCAAACATGCACCCTGCACATCGTCTCATTATGGTTAACATGTGCTGTGTGACCTTGACCTGAGGAAGGTCAAACAAACACCCTGCACATCGTCTCATTATGGTTAAAATTTCTGCCAAGTAGTGTCAATTTCCTTCCATCAGTTCAAAAGGTACAGATGGACATGAAATTGCTAGAAGAGAAGATGGGCAAACAACTGGGTGCATAATATATGACAAAAATTCCGGGTATAGAAATAGGTATGTAAACAGAATGGAGACAATTTGAGCTTTTGTGAGGTCTTATTCCTACATATTTATAAAGAAGTTTATATCTCAACATTTTGTCTCCTACTCTCCTTGACTTTGTTTTGAATATCCTGTCAACTTCCATATCATGAAATTTAACTGTATTTTATTTTTCCAAAGATTGCTATTTTTAGTATTCTATTACAAATCTTAATCAGGTACCCATTTGTAAAATTGCTTGAATATCTTTTGCATATTTACCATTAGCAAGTTACAGTGATTTATATATTGTATGGAAGACAAAATACTACTTTGTTTATAATTTGCTACTTTAATGACAAACCAATTAACATAAAATACTGCTTTCTTTGCCTAAAAAGCATCTAACAAGCTCAATAACCATTATTAAAACATTATTAAACAGTGTTTACTTCTTCTTAGAATAATTCTAGTCCATTCTAAGGCTAAATGTACCGTTTAAAATGTCACTTAGCAAGTTTGTTAACCATCAATTTTCTTTTCCTTTAATGTGATGGACAATAAAAAATACAGATCTATGCTAATCAAAGACAAAATGTTCACTTACTATCTCTGTACACTGCCACCCTATCTATTCCTTTGTCTTCTTCTTTAAGAAATGATACAAGGTCTTGCACTGTATGGGAGACAGGTTTGAGCACAAATTCACAGGATTCTTTCCGTGATGGTAAAGGCACTGAGAACACAGACAACCCATGTCGGTACTCCACCAATACATCTTAAATTCATAATGTTTATATATATAATCAATTGATCAAAATAAATATATTACAAGAAAATCACCGAAGGAAATGGAAACTCACCAAACTAGCACATTTGTCAATGCACATTAGTAATAAAGTCTGTACTAAGAACAAAATAGTATAAATATATTGTCTGTACCCGTGATCTGGACCCTAGTCATTCCTAATCACTTTACCCAAACTCGTCCATAGATTTTCTGAAGTCACTCTGGAAAAATTCATGAATTTTCATGGAAACAAAATTTCTTCCACAGTATTTACAGAGTAACTGTATTCTGGAACAATCTTCATGGAGAACACTAGAAATTTGACTTTTCTATCGAAAAAAAAAAGACCTTGAAACAGTTCTGGAAACTCATAAAAGTCAACACTTATACAATTATTTAAGAACTTTTACTTTGGAAACGTTTTGCCACTTTTGTTAAAGTTTTGGACTTTTAATATTTCTGCAGATTTGGACTTAAAATTTTCCTGCAGATTTGGACTTAAAATTTTCATTTGATTTCTGCATTTACTTCACTTTACATACCTGAAAAGTTCATGACTCTTGGTCAAACACTTTTTTAATTATGTGCGAGACAAGTTGAACATTGCAAATTTTTCCTCAGTCAAGGGCAATAACTCTGACAAAACAGAATAAACCCACAAGGGAAACCCCAGGTGTAGAACTTCACATGCTGAGCAACATGCCTGTAAAGTTTCATTACACTAGGTATATTCTTGCGACACAAGTTTAAAATTGCAAATTTTACTAAGTCAAGGACAATAACTCTACAAATACTAGAATAATCCACACGAAAATACCGAGGTGCACAGCTACACATGCTGATCAACATTCCTGTAAAGTTTCATGACTCTAGGTCAAATACTTTTTGAGCTTCATGAGACACAAATTGAAAATTGCAAATTTTTACAAAGTCAAGGGCAATAACTCTACAAATTTAAAAATATCCACACGAAAATACCCAGGTGCACAACTACACGTGCTGAGCAACATGCCTGAAAAGTTTCATGACTCTACGTCAAATACTTTTTGAGCTACGTGCAACACAAAATGAGAACGGACGGACGTTCTAACAGGAGAGTAATAATGTGGCTAATCTATTGTTCTCTCTATTGTTCATTTTAGCCACACAAAAGAAAATAGCCACATAAAAGCATTATGGAATGAATGACATCAAAGAGAAAGAACAGTTACCTATTGTCTCTCTAGCCACATAATTACTGTCCTGTGAGTGTGGATGTCCAGACTGAAGGACAAGGGTAAATCTAAATGCCCTATAGTGGGGGCATACAAAAGAGGCTGAATTGAGAAAACTAGAACTGCCACTGTCATGGCATGAATACCCCTGCCTACCGCTTTGTCAGAATCAACAGTGGTCATTTAAAGTTCAAGGACAACCTCCCTGCCAAATCTGAGGGTAGTAAGCCAGCGCATTGCTAAATTATGTATTCTACATGTTTTTGTGGCAAAGATCAAAGTGGCCTTTACCTTTGACCTCAAAACTGAAACTGCCATTGCATGACTTGAATACCCCCATTCATACAGCTTTGCCTGGGGGTGTTTTATGATGAATATATGAGAACTTAATTATATGCTACAAATGTTAAAATGTCAAAATCAATAACACTTTAGGCATTCTTAAGCATTTCAGCGGACTAACTTTTTTTTTTAGATAAGGCCCCTATGACCCGGATCTTTGACCCAGTGACCTCAAAATCAATATGGGAATATAGAGACTGTGGGTCAAAGGATCCTTAAGTTATTGGGCAGACAAGCTTTTTTCAGTCAAGGCCCGTGACCTTTGACCCAGTGACCTCAAAATCAATAAGGGTCATCTACTCATCATGACAAACCTCCTTACAGGGCCTTTTCACTAGTTTTGGGGAAGGCGCCCAAGCCCTTTTTGTGGGGAAAAAATGTGCGGTTTTAATACTTTTGGGGAAAAAAAATCACATTTTCCACTGGCAGTTTAACCGTTATTACTATAAATAAAGACTTATTTAAATCATACATTTGGGGGAAATATCATAATATATTTGCATATTTTCCCCCAAACACACTTATTTTAGGAGCTTTCTGTCCAACATAAGTTACAGGGATGTTTTTACAGATCAATTTATTGCCACTTTTTATTTGCCTAAGAATACATTAACTCATATTTCCTAATTATAGAAAATTTACGTATGACATGTGAGGGTTCTTGATTTGAGGTATCCCTCTAGTGGGTAATTGAATAATTAGCTTTCATTGGACAAAAACAATGATCTATTTTTAAACAAGAAAGTTTGTTAACAAGTTTTTTTTCTTCGATGTAACATTTCTCTGAAAGGGAAAATCTTTGCAAGAAGGGGAATTTTAGACTGTTTTTTGGGGAAAAAAGGTAGTAAGTTGGCTTGGGGAAGTAGCCGAATACCGGCTACAGCACAGAAGGGTAAAAAGGCCCTGCCTTGCCAAATATAAAGACTGTGGGTCAAAGGAATCTTAAGTTTTTGGGCGGACAAAGAAAAACTGACAGACCGCCGGACGATCAGACGCCCAGACGGACAAGCTGATTCAAGTATACCCCCATTACATCTTTGTTGTGCGGGGTATACAAATGGCTGCCATTCTGTTTTTTACAAAATAAACCACAACCAGATTTTATACTGTTAAAAAGTTCTGTTACTTATGTAACAGTACAAATTTCTTAGTCATGTGGTACACTTACATTAACAGTATGAATAACTCCTAGTGGCCTATGGAAAATAAACATCACAAAAAAGTGAGACTGAGAGGTAACAATACTTTTTAACAGTAAAAATCTGGTCACCTGGTTTGCCAGGCAGACTTTTTTTACTATTTCTAAAAACAAAGATTTTTTCCCTTTTTTAAATTTCAATTGGTAGGTCTACTAACACTTGTTGTTTTGCCCAAGTATGAATCATTACAATAATGTTCAATGATCAATTTTACATCTGAAACTCTGCACATGGTCCAAATTTCATAGCTGTACATCAAAGGACAAGAAAGTAGGTTCATTAAATTATCTAGGTCAGCTGAAACAAAGTTCAGTGTTACATTTAAAACTGTGCTTATGTTCCTAATCTCATTGCTATTGGGAAAAAATAAGATTTTTTAAAAATTTTACCTCTACATCAAGGTCAATGAAAGTTCAAGGTCACAACTAAATTATTCAGTATGTTTTTTTGGTAGCAAGTCTTTTCAAGCATAAATCAAATCTGTACATAAATAACAAAATTATGACAATTTAACCAAAATTTGATGATTTGACCTTGCACATGTGAAGTTTGAAGGTAAAGGGCCCATGAGTTGTTGAGATATTGATCAGAAACTGTTTTTACCTACAAGGTCAATATGACCTTTGACCCCCTGACTCCAAAATCAATTAATTGGAAACCATTATGACATTCAATGTCAATTTGACCTTGGCCTTTCACCTAAATACTTAAAAACAATAAAGGGGTCACCTTCTGGTCATGAACAATCCCCATACCAAGTTTAACGTTCCTAGGCCTAAGCATTTTTAGCTATTGATCCAAAACCTTTTGGTCTACAGAGTGACAGACGGACCAACGGACAGACAAATTCAAAGCATTGTATACCCATACTTCTTTTAATAAAAAAAATAAGTTGAGCTAATAAAACTTACTATCTCTGGAGAGAACTGTTGTACAATAGGACAAACACGGGCAGACAGCAGCATTGATGTGCGACAATTTCTGAAATAAAGAAATAGAGCAAACTTCTTTTGGTAAATTTGAACTTTTTAAAACGTAATTAAAGTCTAAACAGATTATTTTCAATATACTATGATATATGCATTTTCATCGCCATTCCTGGAACAGTTATATAACTGTTAATTGTAAGGGCCAATGATTAACAGCTGTAGATAAATTGTTAGTGAGGCATATTTGTCTGTCTGTTCATAACTCAAGTAATTATCTTCCTCCCAAACTTCCTCCATGTAATTGCCAGACCGTGAGTAGAAACAAACTAATAGCTAATACACCTTACTGCTATCATATTGGCACTGTTTCTCCCTTGAATCAATCATTATAACAGAATAATAGCCATTTCTTGTCTACAAATTGAATTGATTCATTTGCACAGTTGTCATCTCTTTTACTTGAAGCATAACTTCTACTTCAACCCAAGATGTCTGTAACACATTTAAGAAATCAGACTTTTGTTTTTTCTCATTTTGCTTATAGTTGCTTTGTTTTAATAGTTTGTGAATTAGCTTTATTGTTTATGTCATAAATGTTTTGAAATTCTTACAAAGTAAAACTGATGTAAATTGATAGAATTTTGATAATTATTATGAATTAAAGAACTTTTCTTCTTAATTAATTGCATTTAAAAGAAATTGTTGAACCTCAAAAAAATTGTTGTGTTGGTGTAAATCAAATGCGTACTTTAACTTTATTGAGCAACTAGTTTTTCCTTATGTCATAGAGATTTTCCAATACACATATGTTTATTTTCCGTGTATGTGCCATATACATGTATATTTTATATGCATGTACATTATAAAACATGTTATACATTATAATTATTAGACGCCTCGCTGCACGCGGCGTCTAGTAGATATGCATTCGTCTATTCAGCAATGGGGAAAATTTTAGACTTGATTTTGTGTATCTTTTTTTGTTTAAACTTAATCACACTGTTTTCAAATTTTCTAATAAAAATAGCTTTTTTGATGTACAACATGTCACCGAGCATTAAGGAATTAAAATTAACGTTTAACTGAAGTGATAATCCCATGTTTGAATATCATATTCTTTTTATCAATATCTTATTTTATTTATCTAATAAATAACGTGCCAATGAGCCAGTCTATAGTCGATCGTTCTAAAACTTAACGGTTGAGAGAGGTAACGACTGAGGCAGTGTCACTCACTTCATTTGCTCCGCCTCTGTTGAAGTTCGGCTCCGCCTTAAATTGTCGCCAAATTTAATATGATGCTCCGTATGCTACCATTTAATCTTCGTTGACGGGGCGGAAGGGAACCAGGACAACTTTGATCAATATCACTTGTCGAATCATTAAATTACAAGTTACAAAGCCTAAAACCATGTCCACTATCAGAGAGGCGGTTCTCCCTCAAACGTTAAGAAAGTACGACAAACTCGCCCGAAAGAAAGCATTTTTTTCTTCAAGTTCAAGGTTTTGGAAAGAAAACAAAAAAAACTCTTATTTATACTTCATTATCTAATCAGAAATTACATGAAACACACACCCCTTGTTGAAGGTTTTCGACATCCATTTTGTTATCATGTGATATTGAATAATTCGCTTTGATTTGCTTAAGACAGGCAATGTACATGTAGAACTGTTAAAAAAATGTTAATAACGGAAAGAAACAAGCCAGGTATTTAAAGTGCAACAACTATAAATAAGGTACAAAACATCCAGGCAATTTGGTGCCAAAAGAAATGTCACCAAATTTCCACACAAAATCACAGACTCAATGCATGGTTCTTTATCATGATAGATAGAAAAAGGTTCCAATCCCGCCATGTTAGATAGTCAGTTAATTAATGTGCGTTATTTTCATATGCATGTATACTGTTACATGTTATAAAACTTTCTCTCTTTTATCAGGGTTGTTTATCGCAACAAAAATTACAAGGATGGCATCCCATCTTCTTGGTATTACTCTTCCTCCTATTCAAGCTATATGGGCGGCAAGCTTTTTGCCCAGTGGTTTAATTTGTCGTTTTTTCTTCCAATTTGTGCACGCTGGCCTTATTATTCTTGCAAATATACATTGTACATGCATATGTGACTTTGTCATTAATGCAATAATTTTTTTAATTCAATGATTTTGATATGTGTTTTCAGTTTTTAAAACCAGTTTTTTTATGTGCTACAATACTAAACGTATTATTATTTTAGATCAAGGATGTAAAGAACAGGTCAGAATATTGTCCAACCTGTGGGGCATACAATCTAAACCTGTTAGTGAAAGACAGTCTTGTACCAGAAACTTTAGCCAATGTTTTGATGCCTCAACCAATGAAGGCACAGAAAGAAAAGCAAAAGTCACAAGTTGTACTTGAAGGATAGATGATAAGCGGTGAAGACATTGAGCAATAAATCCTTTTCCAATCAGCGAAGAATTAAAGCAAAAATATGTATGTACTCATTCTAAAGAAATCAGTCTCTTAAAGTTAAACCAATCTTATCTAATTTTATTATTACAGATTTTGAGGACATGTTAAACTGTATGAGATTCAAGTAAACATCTTTTGATAAAAGCAGTCAGCATAAATCTGAACTTTATATAAATAAACATTGCATTATAAATCGGTATGAATTTATTTTCTTCAGGAAAAAGAAAGGCATTAGAAGAGAAAAGGGAGAGACAAAAAGAAAGAAAAAGGGAACATGTTAAGGCAGAAGTAAAGTTCAATAAAGAAAAAAGTGAAACTGAGTACAAAAGAGGAGAGAGTCTGAGAGACTAAAGAAGATGACAGAGGCTAAACAAAGAAAACAAATAATTGTAGGAGGAAGCAAGTCACAACTGACGAGGAATGACCTCAAAGTGAAAGACAAAGCGGGCTTGCCAGTCAGATTTACACATGTGGTGTATATAGCATGCGGGGGAGGGTTGATGACTAGGCTCAGGGCATAGAGTGGGTGAAGTGTGATGAGGACATGTGTTTAGTTTATACAAATTTATTTTAGTTTGATTGTGTTGGAAACTATAAGCTTACTGAAACACTCTTGAATCCGTTCCTGGAACAACCAGTACTAAGCAATGAATGTAAAGTTTCTTGCCAAAGGAAACAACGGCTTGCCCCTGACAGCGTTTGAACCCACACGGTCAGCGATCCTTAGATAACTTGTCTGACATATTAACCATGTGCCACTCTCAAAAGAACATGTGTTTGACTTGGTACCATTTTGAAAGTAACAGAGAGAAAGAGTTTGTTAGTGGGAGCCTATCTGAAGGTAGCAATTGATTGTGCAAAGAATGCAAGCCATGACCGAAGAATAAAACAATATCTTAATATTGTCAGTTTTAAATACAAAATCTGTGTAGACCTGTGTCTGTAGATCTATATTCAAACTGATTATCAAAAGGTTGTGGATAAAATCTAATACTGAATTATCTTATAGGTTATGACCATTTGCAATAACTTGTTAAGTACATGTATATAACAACAAGAGCGATCAGTGATCACGTGTCGCCTCATGATGGCCAATTTCTTGTTGGGACAAGTTTTGTGACAGACGGACAGTGCACAACTAAACTTGGTACTGATTATTCCTGTAAAGTTTGGATAAAATTGCACCAGTAGTTTATGAGGAGTAGTCCGGACAAGCTTTTGTGTATCTGGCAACACACAGAAAAAACACCTTTTTATCAAAGGGCCATACATGTAACTCGGCCAAAAATCATTCAACCGGAAAACCCGTGCAATAAGCGCAAGGACTTGAGCTACAGATCACTCCTGTAAAGTTTCATTGAAATTGCATTAGTGGTATAAGAGAAGTAGTCCAGACACACTTTAAAAATAAAAATTATTAAAGGGCCATTACTCTGACAAAAATCATTGAACCGGAAAATGCTGACAATATGCACAACTAGACTTGGTACTGATCATTCCTGTAAAGTTTGGATGAAATTGCACTAGTAGTTTATGAGGAGTAGTCCGGACAAGTTTTCTGACGGGCGGACAGACGACGGAGAAGTGATCTTATATGTCGCCACTACTCCGTAGAGGCAACAAAAATATGGTAAATATATCGGTATTAGGTATGAAAAATATATAAAGTATCAACATAAATGTTTTTTTTCTAGATTTTCAGCACTTTCCGGCTTACAACATAAGATATCAACGTTACATGTATCTACTGTCGCGGTGCAAAATATCATCATATACCTCATTCAGGTCCTCATAGAAGTACCTGTTTCTTTAAATAGGTTTTTCATTGTCGCGTAAAATAGACTGACTGAAGTTTGTAAAGGTAGGTTACTAATAACTAGTGTAATATACAAGTCCATCTTAAAGATATTGCAGAAAAACTATGATTTAGTGTCAAGGTTATCTCGCCAACCAGTATACTGGTCGGAGACCATCAACCGGACACTTTTGAAACATTTTTCCGTACAGATTTCATAATTTTTAACCTAGAGACCAAAAAATTTGACACAGTTCAGCTAGGTTCTTCTCCTAACTAACAAACTAGTTTGTTTATGACACTTATATCTGAGGCTCAACAAGGAGGGTATCAAAATTACCTAAATTGTCTACACTACAGTACCATGTGTCCGGACAGATATGTACATGATGTGATTTAATTCAGATAAAAGCTTAGATGTTTTGATTTGTAACATGATATACAATATGTCAGCAACAAATGCTGAAGTTTTTGATATTCTATTATTCACTCTGCAAATGATTATAGCTGGTATATGAGGCCAGGCATTGCTTTCTTGACCCCCGAATTTCAACGTCAACATTCTTGAAATAGACATTGAAATATTACCATTTACGGAGGTTGAAATAAATTTATTTACTTAATTTTAAAAGAAACATGCACTTATTGTTGATAAAAAAATGACTGACAACCACTGAACAAAGAAAATACTAAATTAAGCATTTTCGGGGCCGTCAGGGTTTGGTGGTTGTCCGGTTTTGGTGGTCCCGAACCAGTAGGTAAAATTGGAAAATTTACATTGTTTCACATAAAATGAACATTTTCTTGTGTCCCGGTCAGGCTGCACACTTTTATCACCCAGTGACATTAGGAGCCAAACAGGGGACTGTGACTGAATATATCTCAGAGTTTTATTCACATTACTCTGTAACTATGTGAAATTTAAGGACAAATTTCAATATAGCAGGCCGGGGAGTTATTACAGTCAATGCGAAAGTCAAAATTTTTTTCCAGCCATAAGGACTGGGATCCTTAGATTTATTTCCGGCCCTGGTGATTTTTTCTGGCCCGGACTGTGAAAGGTATTTTTTATAGGGGTGTGGGAGGGATATTGCCATAATTATAAACAAAAACATTTAGCAAATATGAATTATCAGACTCAACTATAAGATACTATGGAAAAAAAAACACATTAGCATTATTCACTTTATTCACAAGAAAATGATACATCTTTCAAAGGTTTAATTTTAAAGATTGGAGAAAAAATATGCTTTGGTAAGGAAATTATCCAAGACAAGATGGTGGCTTACATTACTGATAGCAAAAACTGGTTGTATCTTGTGGTAATTTTGATTATCTGGGTCTGTGAATACAAGCAAAAATGAAAAAAACAGATTGATCTTGGAAGTTTTGCATATTTTAGAAGGCCAAAAATTGTTTCAAACTGGCTAAAATTTTATTCAGACATGAGGACTGACTGTATCGAAATTTATCTCGGTCCTTCTGATTTTTAGTTGGCGAGGACCGACAGACTTTCGCACAGTATGTCACAGTTCAGAACTGTTCACAAGCCTACTTAGGGGAGAAGATGTGTATGTGGCCGGACAGCTTAGTCGGTAGAGCCATGGTACGGTATTTGGAAAGTCCCGGGTCCGAGTCCCGGTCTGGCTGCACATTTTTTTCTCACCCTGTGACAGTTGTTTCCTGATTATTTATTATGGCTAATAGTGATACAGTATTAAAGCATCCGAGGGGTGAACTTTTGGACTATGGGACGCGTTAATGATAAAAGCACATACATCTTCTTTAGCGCAATGCATTCATGTAATTTAACAAATAACTAAGGCAAATGCCCTATCACTATATGAAATTAAGTTCTGGTAATAAATATGAACACAACCGTGAAAACAACACGCTGTGTTTTTCACTTATGCACTAACTTCTTCCAAACTTTTGTTACAATGAAAAAATATATGAAGTTCAAAGTTAATTGGTTAATTGAATATGATTAAATAAGCTATCTTACCTGGGCTTTTCCAACAAGTAAATGCGACTTATTCGGATGTGCAAACCTGTTTAAAGTTTGCCTGACAACCCACGAAACTCCACTGGTCGCCATTTTCCAGATACTTTACTTCACGCCCTGAACGAGACTTTACGAGAGAAATTTGCTTACAAAACTAATCAACATAAACAAAAAATTGTTTTAATCCGCAACAGTCCAGGATGTCTGAAGTACGTCAAAGAAACGTACCCGATAGTTCAGAAAACTACACTAAGGTCTGTGCATAATTTTATGAAATTCCGTTTGTTATTTTTGGCTTATTTTTATGAAAATATTTTTGTTTTGAAATACGCAAAACGAAAGTGGGTGGGATAGGACACACAAACATATAAAACAAGCCCATGAGAGCTTTTAAATTCGACTTCTAAACTATTAAAGCATGTAAATTTCTATGAAATACATACAGAATAATAAAAGGCTTACTAATTATAATAAAAAAGTTAATGAAATATGAAGGCATTAAATTGGGGCCGGGTTGACATGCTATGTGGTGGTATTAGTACATGTATATATGTAGTTTTCACTCCGGATCAGGACAGTAAATAGAGTAACTAAGCTACATTGAATTTACCAGAGCACAGTTCAGCATCAGAACCGGTAGTTTTGTTTCATTTGCGTAAAAAAATGTAGAAAAAAAATCACAATCAAAATGCACTTACTTTTAATATGTCAAAAATTGACAAAAACAAACAATTGAATATTTCAACATTTTGGGGCAAATGTCCGCCCATCACAAATTTTAGGAGACAGATATGTTGCGCATGTTAATTTTTACAGACATAAGTAAATAAAGTCTGTGTGTAATAAATTGATTAATGGTCACTCGGGAGAGCAAAATGCCCCTGCAATATTTCACAGTGATCCACGGTGACCATATCCGGCAGCACAAATTTCACCCAATCAGATGATGGGAATGTCACAACTGTTGCAGGGACGTCATGGTGACAATCCACCCGTAAAAAATCACGGTGAACTTCAGACTTTGGAAAAATTGTTAAAGCTTTACTGTATAAACTCTAAAACCACAAGGGATATCAACATAAAGTTTACTAGGTACAGGAAACAACGGCTTGCCCCTGACAGCGTTTGAACCCACACGGTCAGCGATCCTTAGATAACTTGTCTGACATATTAACCACTCAGCCATGCCGCCACTCTCAAAAGGACATGTGTTTGACTTGGTACCATTTTGAAAGTAACAGAGAGAAAGAGTTTGTTAGTGGGAGCCTATCTGAAGGTAGCAATTGATTGTGCAAAGAATGCAAGCCATGACCGAAGAATAAAACAATATCTTAATATTGTCAGTTTTAAATACAAAATCTGTGTAGACCTGTGTCTGTAGATCTATATTCAAACTGATTATCAAAAGGTTGTGGATAAAATCTAATACTGAATTATCTTATAGGTTATGACCATTAGCAATAACTTGTTAAGTACATGTATATAACAACAAGAGCGATCAGTGATCACATGATTGTGTCGCCTCATGATGGCCAATTTCTTGTTGGGACAAGTTTTGTGACAGACGGACAGACAGATGGACAGTGCACAACTAGACTTGTTACTGATCATTCCTGTAAAGTTTGGATAAAATTGCACCAGTAGTTTATGAGGAGTAGTCCGGACAAGCTTTTGTGTATCTGGCAACACAGAAAAAACACCTTTTTATCAAAGGGCCATAACTCGGCCAAAAATCATTCAACCGGAAAACCCGTGCAATACGCGCAAGGACTTGAGCTACAGATCACTCCTGTAAAGTTTCATTGAAATTGCATTAGTGGTATAAGAGAAGTAGTCCAGACACACTTTAAAAATAAAACTTCTAAACTATTAAAGCATGTAAATTTCTATGAAATACATACAGAATAATAAAAGGCTTACTAATTATAATAAATAAGTTATTGAAATATGAAGGCATTAAATTGGGGCCGGGTTGACATGCTATGTGGTGGTATTAGTAGATGTATATATGTAGTTTTCGCTCCGGATCAGGACAGTAAATAGAGTAACTAAGCTACATTGAATTTACCAGAGCACAGTTCAGCATCAGAACCGGTAGTTTTGAAGTTTCATTTGCGTAAAAAAATGTAGAAAAAAATCACAATCAAAATGCACTTACTTTTAATAATATGTCAAAAATTGACAAAAACAAACAATTGAATATTTCAACATTTTGGGGCAAATGTCCGCCCATCAAAAATTTTAGGAGACAGATATGTTGCGCATGTTAATTTTTACAGACGTAAGTAAATGAAGTCTGTGTGTAATAAATTGATTAATGGTCACTCGAGAGAGCAAAATGCCCCTGCAATATTTCACAGTGATCCACGGTGACCATATCCGGCAGCACAAATTTCACCCAATCAGATGATGGGAATGTCACAACTGTTGCAGGGACGTCATGGTGACAATCCACCCGTAAAAAATCACGGTGAACTTCAGACTTTGGAAAAATTGTTAAAGCTTTACTGTATAAACTCTAAAACCACAAGGGATATCAACATAAAGTTTACTAGGTACAGGGATCATGCTAGCCTTGAATTTTAGGGAGAAGTGACTTATCCCTCAAGCGAAAATATGGGGAAGGGGTTTTTGGAAAAAGGAGAAGCGCATAAAAATTACATTTGTTGGAGTTTGATGTTCCCTTTAAAAATATTTATTTTAAGTTTTCATTAGGTAGAAATATAACAACGCATGTATGTAGCAGTTTTTTAGGTAACTCATATAATAAACAGCAGAATAACAATTGTGAAATGAACCAAATGCTTGCAGGTAGTCTAACTTTTTCTTATCTATCTTATGTAGCTTGTTTTGTTTTAGTTACTGCAGATAGCTGAAGTATTAAAAACATTTGAGTATATTTTTTTCATTGAATAGTTAACATGTGTAGAGTCAGTTTTTGAAAGGTTGATCTTACCTTGACCTTTAAATGGCCTTGACTATCAAGGTCAGATGACCGAATTTGCTTATATTTTCTTAACATTGTCATTTATTCAAGAAATGATTCAAGCTTGGACAAAACAACACGTGTGACTGGACAGACCTATTAAAATACAAAACTTCCAATATTTTTCCTTTATTTTCTTTGTTAAGATTTGTTTAAACTGTTCATTTTTTGGCGGGGTTCTTGTTACACTTTGATCTTTGTCCGGGACATAACTCTGAAACCACAAAAGGTATCAACAAGAAATTTTGTAGGTAGATGGATGTAGGTAGATAGATCTCATTAAGTAAAAGTGCAATACATAAGAACTGTAACTCTGCCTTGCCTTCTTTTGGCGTTATTGCCTTTTTTACTTTGAACTTTTTCTGGGACTACAAGAGATATCAACAAGAAACTACTTCTCTGTGTCCAATACCCTTTCGGGGATCATCATCCTGTTTGACTGGCTCTTGTTTTTCTCTTGTTGGTTATCTGAATGCATGAATTTGTTATATTTTTGAAAAAATCTTTCATCTCAATATTCTGAAATATTTTACACAAATATCCGTATTCGAAAATTGACTCCGGACACCAGGGATCATTCTTGGGAGCGATTTCTCGCATATAAATCGCCAACATCTCAAAGAATTTGTTGAATGAGCGATAATCTCACACGGCAATTTGACACCGAATATCAGTCATTTTAAAATCTAAAGAAGCCAAAAATTCACAAAAAAATATGATAAAAATTCACAATTACCATTAAAAATTTGATTTCAAATTGTTTATATTTATGAAATTGATGTTAAAAACCCCTAAATGTTGCTCAACACTTTGAAGAATTTAGCCAAAAATAATTCGCAGTACAATAATTTTATCACTAGTTGGTGGAATTTCAAATAATTAAGCGCAAGAACTGTGTGGCTAAGTCAAAGGTCAAGTTCATACTTGAAGGTCAAATGCAAAAAATGGTCTCAAACATTTTATCCGCAACCATAACTCTATCACTAGCTTACATAATAAATCATGAAATAATTCATAGTACTTTCATTGTAAAGTGTTAGAATTTATTGTCAGCAGTCTCTGTATATTTGACTGATCCTATACATGTTTTTGTATCTTTTTAAGAACCAGCACTTCTTGGAATATTAATTATATATTCATTATCATTATAATATTTGATTAATTGCTTTTAACAAATAGTGTTACACATTGTAGCTTTAACATCTTTGTGTAGAATCAATAAATTAGATGGTATTTTAAGTGCTTTTTTTCACTGATGCAAAGTAATTGTTTTTTATTTATATACAGAAAGAGGATGATTTAACAGGAAAACAGGAAAGTAAGATCCAGGATTCAGATGAGGAGGAGGAAGTTCCGCTTTTTAACCCAAATGCCTCCAAGGAGCTTCCACAAGCATCAGATCAAACTACAGAGGCTATAGACACTGCCCTCAAAGATTTAACACCAAGGTACTGGCAATCACTCTTTACATTCACCATTTTACAAAAGTTTTATACAGTGAGATAGGCAATCGGTAATCTTTACTTGCAATTTCTACTGAAAAGAATAGCCTGTCGTCTGCTAGTTCGGAAACTGTCAATCTGTGTATTGCGTTGTCAGTTCATTCCTCTATCCTCCAGGATTCATTCTCTGAGAATTTAATTGTCCAATTTTAGGCAGAATGAATAGGTAGATAGATCCCAAAGTTCCAGAAATATCTGCTTAGGGTTTTTAAATTATGGTCTTGTTACTTTAACTAATGCATTATTAACTCTTGACCAGTTGTATGGTCATATATAAACTGTTGTTTATAAACTGTTGACAACCCTTGCCGCCACTATATATCTGTATATGCAACATCTATTTCTATACGGTTATATAACCTGTTAAAAATCTTTATAAATAATGATACGCAAGCATTCTAACAAATTAAATATATTAGTATTTGTGCAGATGATAATGTTTCATCACAAAAGTTAAGAATGTACATAGATATTATTTATATTTATAACATGATTTTTTTTTCAGATGGCGGAATTGGGTTATACGGGGAATATTTACGTGGGTGATGATTGGTGCATTTGGCTTGATCATCTATCTTGGCCCTCTTGCCCTTTGCACCATGGTAATACTCTTTAAGATATTTGAATATATATGAATATACATTTAATATAACTTAATTATCAATTAGCTTGCTTTAATTATCATCGACCGAATTCGTTTAGTCAGGGTGTTTCACAGCTTTAACACGAGACAATTTAATCCACAGAAACAAAGCGCTATTTTTAGCAATGTCAGTTACCAAGTGTGGCTAGGGCCATACTTCAGTGTGTGTGCAAATTATGTCAGATTACACAATTAAGTCTGACTCGAGGCAATTTTATTGAGTAGTGAAATATATGTCAGACTTTTTCAAAGAGATTTTTGGGTTACTAGAGGGGCAAAGTGAAAATATTTTCGATGGAGTTTTTGTCCAATGTGATGTCATATAACAGAGTCAGTAATGTATTGAAGAAGAAAAAAATTTAATGTATGTTATGTAACATTTTAAGTGTACAATGTATGGAGCTTTCATATACCATTGTATCAGACAACATTTATTGTAAAATAAATATTTTACATCAATTAATATCAACAAGTATTTATTTGTTTATCAGTTTCTCATATGTCTGAAAAATAGTTTCCCATGTGATATATATATATATATATATATATGTTCATGCATATATTTCAGGTTATGTTGCTGCAGATCAAATGTTTTCATGAAATCATCACCATTGGTTATGTTGTTTACAAGTCGTATGATCTTCCCTGGTTCCGTACACTCAGTTGGTACTTCCTGTTTGCATCCAATTATTACTTCTATGGTGAAAGTATGATAGACCACTTTGGTCTCCTGTTACATAGAGCAGTAAGTAAAAATGAAAATAATGTGTCTGAGTTTGTTGAGTAAAAAAGATTTTTAGCTACACTTTTTACTGAAAAAAAAGGGAAGCTACTGTTATGAGCCCCTTGTTGCATCCACTTTGTTTAACCTTTTACTTCAGGTCCATTTTCTCAGAAACTATGAAAGCTATCAACTTCAAATTTGGTATGCAATGTTATTAGGGCACTGGAGCAGAATTGAACTTTTGTGATGGCAGTGAGTCAGTGGTTTGTCATTCGTTGTTATCCACAATTTCTTTAAACAACATATCTGAAACTGCTTGATGGTTTATGACCAAATTTCACTTGAACGGTCCTTATGTGATCTTCTTTAAAAGATATATAAATGGTTTCAGTCTGATGCCTAAAATAGACTTTAAAAATGAAATCTTTAAAAATCTTCTTAGAAACTACAATGTTCAGAGCTTAGATATTTGACATAAACAGTAATTTTGCTGCAAATTCTAAAAACATGCCACGATTTTTTGCAACAAATCTACGAACATTGGCGGTTAGATGTAGCAATGCCTTCATATGTAAATTCATTAGATATTATAAACACAGACTTTGTAATTTTATAATTTAAATCATATAATGTTATTGTCCCCTATGGGGACATAGAAATGGGCTTCATTCTACCATCTGTCTGTCAATACAAACACATGGGTACTTGTATGACTAGGAGAACAATAGGTAACGGTACATTTTCTTTGATCCTATTCATTCCGTGTGTCTTTTTTAAGGCCTTCTGTGACTAAAAATGACTAAAAAGCTCAAAAGAAAAGTCACATAATTACCATATCCTAAGTCGTTTCACCCATCCACAAAACTGGATCCAGTGAAAACTGGTTGAAAACTTTGGTTGCTATGGCAACTAATAGACTTAAAATATGACAAAAATAACACAAAAACTGGATCCTATGATTACGCACAAAGAACTGAAAATACTTAAATGAAACTTAACACAAAAATAACACAAAAACTGGATCCGATGATTACACACAAAGAACTGAAAATACTTAAATGAAACTTAACATATGGGTCTGTCTGTGCGTCCACAGTCTTCCACAACATTCATCTCTGGACTTGTCAAGCATTGAAAGATTTTAAAATAACTTGGCACAAATGTCTACCACAGCATGATGATGTCACGTCTAAGACCCATGTCAGTACTTCAAAGGTCAAGGTCACACAGTTTGAAAATTCACATTCTCACAATTAGAGTTTAAAGGTACACACATTTCTGTAGGGACTGTAACTTTGTCATGCATTGAAGGATTTTAAAAGTAACTTGGCATAAATGTCTACCACATTATGATGATGTGTTGCGTCTTAAACCCATGTCCCTATCTCAAAGGTTACAGTTTACAGTTTGAAGGTTCACATTCTCACAATTAGAGTTCTGTCCGGACTTTTGTATTGCTGGCAATACTTTGTTTATTGCCTGTTTCTAAAAGAGTGAATGACACATCCACAGAATCATTGATAAATGGTGAATACCCTACTAAAAATAGCAGCATAATGTAATTTATTCGTTATTCATTTATTCCAGAACATTTTATTTGATTACATGCAATATTCATGTGTGATAAATAGCAGAGACATTCTATTTTACAACTCTTTCAAGCCATATTACGGAAACAACATTTATACCCTTTAAACAATAAAAAATATCAATAGAAATGGCCTTTTATCTCAATTCAGTCGCAGTCTGTCTGATCACTCCTATGTACATTTGTATTGCTTGCAATTTTTCTATAATTACTTTTTTTTTTCTTATTTTCATGTAGATTTCTTTGTTGCCAGTCTTTGTGCAAAATTTCAAGAACAAATGAAGAGCGGAATGCTTATTTTCCCTCTTCTTTCTAACCTGTGCCATTTTTTCTTAAAAATGGCCTATTTTTTAAGAATTTAAAATTATTTACATAAATAATTTATGATGCATGTTATTATATATTGTGATCAACAATAACAAGACAAACATACTCAAATATTAAAAAAAGGAGAAGATTTTATAGCAAATATGTTTAAGTTACCTGCCCTTAAAATGACGTCAAATGAGTAAATAATTTTGAATCATTGGCAGATAACTCAAAGTGAGATGGGTGACACCCAACTATTTTTGGCTTAAATTATTCTTTCATCATATTCAAACAACATGCCAAATTTTAAGAAATTCTATTGAATAGTTTTAATTCTGCGTAAATGTCTTGAAAATGTTCTGAAAGTGTTTAGATGTATGTTTTTTTGTATATTACAGGAGTTTTTACATCCATTTGTGAACTACCATCGTATAATATCATTCTGCTTGTATGTAGCTGGCTTTGTGTCATTTGTGGTCAGTTTGAGAAAGAGACACTACCTTAAGCAATTCACTATGGTAATTATGTATCTTTACTATTTAGTTAAATCATCACAATTTTATTTGTCATTTATTACTAACCTGAGCACATAGCTGTGTCAGAGGTGAGCAAAGAATGCTCAGAGGTGAGTTTTTGTGAAGGCAATAATGTCTGTCATTTGTCGTCCTTTGTCCATCGTTATCCATAATTTTTTTAAGCAACATCTTAAAATGGCATCATTCGCTGTCGAGGGGAGTATTTTTAGGTGTGACTTATCAGTGAAGTAAATGTGTCTGTTATAAACCTTGAACTGCAAATAGCATTGAGTATTACCTGCAGACAAAATGTAAACAAAAACCATCTGATTTTACACAGGAGAGGTTTAATGAATGTTTTATAACTCACAGATTAATTATAGACATTTTCAAGCCATCTTTTCCATATTATTATTTTTGAAGTTGCTTGTTATGCCACCGCAGCATCTGCAAAAAAGTGTTTGACCTAAAATCATGAAACTACAGGAATAGTGGTCAGCATGTGTAGTTATGCACCTGGGAGTTTGCTTGTGGATTTATTCAGTATTTGTAGAGTTATTGCCCTTGAATGAATAAAATTGCAATTTTCAATTTGTGTAGCACATAGCCCAAAAATTATTGCTCTAGAGAGAAATGGTAGTCAGCAAGTGTAGATGTGCAACTTGGGTTTTAATTTGTTTGCGCTGGCATATAGCAATTCATGTGTGTGTGTGACTCTGGGGTCACTTAATTAATATAGATTTGTATAATAAAAATATCTTAAAAGACCTCTCCTGAGAAACCACAATGGCTAGAGCTTTGATATTTGGCATGATGCATCATCATGTGGTCCTCTACAAAAGGTTTATCAATCTTGCCTTTTGGGTCAAAATTCCTCCCACCCTGGGGATCACTTATATAGACTTGTATAGGAAAATACATGGAAGTCTTCTTTTGTGAAACTACAAAGCCAAGAGCTTAGATATTTGTCATCAAGCATTCTGTAGCAGTAATCTACAAATATTTCAAAATTATGCAGCTCGAGTGAAAATGAACAAACCCATTACAGGCATCATTACTGACTTTAAAATTGAAAAATAACATGTTTGGCCTTTTCTAGCAATGTATCTCAGGTAAGTGATCCGAAGCCATCATGGCCCTCTTATTTCTTTTATTTACATACAAAAAAACAACCAACCAAACATCATAAATACAGGCAGTTACCCAAGTACCTACTCATAGTATTCAAAGACCTGCTTATAGTATTGAAAAAGCAAGATGATCTTCAAATTTCCCAAAACTGCCCAAAATATTACAATATATTGCCATACATCATCATATAGCCAATTATGACAAAACAACATTATGATCACCAGATTTGAACTTGTCTGATCAAGCAAAAGCATGGCAATACTTTCATGATGTGACATGATCAGTCTCTTACACTAGCAAATCCTCAAGTAAATACCTAGCTGTCCCATCAACATCAGTTCCATTTAGCATGACAGGTTTTTAAGTTAATCTTTGTGAAGCTTCAAAGTGAGCAAGTTTATCATCCAGTTTTAGCAAGTTTTGCTGCATCAGGATGAGATTTCTGAAAACTGTATTTACTAATTATTAGTGAATTTCATTTGTGTGTGAACCATAATATCTTGTCTGTAATATAAGTTAAGTAATTTTAAAAGCAGCTGGTCTTCTATTAAATCCCAGCCATGTCCAGATATTGTGTTTAATCCACACTGTTATTAAATATATCTCAATATTAAACAATGGTTATTTGTGGTGTTTCTCTTTTTATATATATAATTATTTTTTTACAACTAGTAGAACTGCTAGTGAGGCATCCACTTATCCTTTTTTCAGCATATTCACCTTATTGATTTTGCTATTTAAATTAAAGTAATCGTGAAACAATGTTCCATATTTCCATGCATGGTATGAGAAACAATTTCCCTTTGGAGTTACTATGATTAGTTTTAAAACCATTAGATGAGATATTTTCATTTTATATGATAGTAAAAACAGAGTATTTATCATACTAAAATGTGGTACTGTGGTAGCATGATAGTTGAAAAACTTCATTATAAATTAATATCATTGACTGAATGGGAATCATCAGGTATTGTGCTATTATTTATTTAGAGAAGTATGGTAGTATTGATTGTGAAAATAAATGTTCATCTATTGATCAGAGAATGGAAAAGCCCTCTTCTTTACAAGTAATGAGTTTTCCAGCTGATTTTACAACATAAGTCAGTTATCTAATTTTACCATAAAGGTATTTATTCCAGGCAGTGAGCTGTAATCAGTGTTAAACCTCCTTATACTTGTCTTGTTTTGTGTAACCATTCACTACCATGATATATTTCCATACTTAATTGTCATATCATAATGTCTGTTCAGAGATCTGCCGAGGACGCGATTTTGCGCCATTGGCGCTAAAAAAATGAGAATGGCGCAGGAAAATCGGCAGCAAAGGGCCATGGGCGCATCTAAAATCTGTGCCAGACTTATAAGAAAACAAAACTGTCTGCTGGGTTATTTAGTCATCCAGTCAAAACTGGTACCAACAGCAACATGTTACCCATGCTCCTGTAATTACGCATATTCTTGAGTTTATCCATTCCCCTATAGCTTTTGTCCATGTTATCTACTTACCGCATTTCTTCTCATAATCCCTTTCCTACACAGATACTTATTTCTACTACCGTAAATTTAATCCAATAAAACAAACAAACAAATTAAACAACTACTTAATATTTAAAATGATTATCGGTAACTGAAAAAAAAGTGTTGCTATTTTAAGAAATGCTGTAAGTTACAGTATAATCTGACAGGTGTTCAACTTGATCAACCCTAAGGTCACTCAAGTTCACGCAAGTTTTGGCTGCTAAAGTGTAAAAAAAAGATGTATATTTCGTCATCAGAATGTTTGACAGGGTGATTAACCAATCAGAGAAACATTGTGCATGACTTTTTTCATGATCAAAAGGTCTGTCGGCAAACGTCTTTGATGTATGCTGTCTAAACAGAGGCATACAAGGGGCAATAAAATTCGTCAATATACAGTGGTTAGGGACATTTGGTGCAAAGTAGGAACAATTAAATGGATAATGCACAATATAAGACATTACAAGTAAGAACCAGCAATTATGTGAATAAATTTGCATATCAAGTTTTTGAGCAGCCATTTAAAAAATATTTTCATTTTTGCCTGCAATTAATATTAGTTAGATAGTTACCATGTAGGCATAATTTTTTATTATTGGTAAAGTACTGAATTATAAGTGAACCACTTGTCATAAAATATGATTTAAGTTTTATTACCGGGGCAATTCAATTATCTACAAACTTTTTAACAGTTATTTTGGTCAATGTTTACTTATTTTCCCAAGGCCCATACTTTGGTAAAAATGGCCCATCATTTTCAGACCAAGTGGGCCCAGGGCCCAGTACTTTCAAATTCTTGGCAGATCTCTGTCTGTTTGAATGCTGATGTTAATTTATATTGAACTTGATGTCAAATGTTCTTAAATAAAAGTTTGATAAAGATATAGACTGATTGCTTTAAATAAACATTAGTGCACTAAAGTTATGCAGATTGCATTAAATGTACACTGACTGCTTAAATGTTCATGTATATGGACTGATATAAAGTTACATTGATGTACTGTTTAAAATATATAACTTCTTTATAATTATGAACTTTGACTGCTTAAAATTTACGCTGACTGCTTAACATGTACTGTTTAAAATATATGATTTCTTTATATGAACATTCACTGCTTAAAATTTACTTTGTATCTTAATTCTTGTATAAAATTTGCACGTGCAGGTATACATGAACATAGTAGAAAACATGCATCAACATACAGATTCTCATGACCATATGCTGTTGTTGCAAGTTTTATATATGTGTGATGCAATGACGGCCCCGATAGTTTACTTATCAAAACATGACTGTCAAATTTTGCACTAGAATGCTGAAAGCATGGCAGAAGCAATTGTTTCTTTGTTTTAAATGCAGAGAATGAAAGGCAAAAGTACCAATTTAGATGTGTACTTTTATGCATAAATAGCGCTAATATTAACACCTGTGGAAGCCCTCAGACTTACTTAATCCTTCACCCTGCAGACTTTAGATATGTACTTGTGTTTCTGCAGATATTATGTAAAAAATAATCACCCTCTATTGACAGCTGTTATGCTTATATCCCCAATTATTAAAATAAACAAAAAAAATTAACATAATTGATCTTTATCTTTATCCCTTTTTTACAGTTTGGCTGGACCCATGTGACATTACTTCTGGTTGTAACTCAGTCACATCTCATCATGCAGAACATCTTTGAAGGGCTTATTTGGTAAATATTTTAACTATTTTCTTAAATATCAAGTATGGTCATAACGTAATAGAACTTTGAAAGTTATTTAATTAGTCTACAACTTTGTATACTGAGATATATGATAATTTTTACAGACCCTATTTTTATGCTCCGGGCACATCTATCTATCTCTCTGTACAATGTTAACATATTTAGATATATCACAAGTTCTACCTGTACCTATGGCTTCATAATGCAGGCACTTAGACTTAGTTTTAAGTTCATGGTCTTGTCAAGTTACATAACTATGGCTTTCATTTCTATGCCACCACATCAGCTGTTATTCATATTGTCAGGATTACATGTTACCTGGAAACTTATTACAATACTTCTGTAATAATGGGTTTAAGTTAACAAAATAATAAGACAGCAGTAATTTCTAGGATGTTCCTAATTGAAAATGTCTAACTTGTCAGTATCATTCAAAGCTAGTTTGTCTTACTGTCTTACTGATGAGAAATCTCTAATGTGTTAAAATGAATATGATTTCATATGTACTCAATTAAATGATACCATTGCAATGTTTATTTTATACTTCTTAAAGATTGACAAAATTTACAAGTATTAAAATTATTCTATAGGGAAGTATAAATCAGAATTAATGTATCAGAATATTTCATGTTTTAACGATTTATTTGTCTTTACACATTAAAACAATAATGTTAGTGGAAATCTCAGAAGTTGAATGTTTTAAACTATTCTTATTAGCTTCACTGAGATTATTCTCTGTATGAATTAACCTTATTTCAATTCAAACTATATATAGTTAACAGTGATAATGTTACATGTCTGGATTCATGTTGCACTGAAATATTGTCCATTTAACCATGTTTCTAATCTCATTTGCAATTCATGAAATAATAATAAGTTTCTCCAATATGCTGAGTCATTTTGAATTTTAATAACAGCTAGCTAGACACAATAATTTCATTAAATCCAGAAGTTAATATTTTCCAGATATTGTATTTTCACTGATATCTGTTTAAATGTGATACTGTAAATCATGTTTACAATAATGAAATTTTACAATCTTTTAAAATCTTCATATACAAAAGCACAAGGTTTAAAATTTAGATAATTGATTTGTAACATCTTCTGACTAAATTCTACCAAGTTTGTAAACACTAGGGTCAAAATTTGGTAACTTGATTTTATTTAGTCTTGTATGGGTGAAAAACTCTACCCTACAACAGCAAAACCTAGAGCTTTGACATTATCTAGTTTGAATTATAATCCTTGAGTCAAAATTGACCTGCTTGTGGGTCATTTGATTTAACAAAGAGTTATATTGGAAAACATTTTCGTTGAATGTCCGGCGTTTGTGGTCCATCCACCTTTAATTTGTTAGCTAAAAATAGAAAAATCTTATTAGCACTATAGGGGCTACTGTTTCTGTTCAAATATTCAGGAAAGGGCTAGGTACGTTTTGGGTCGATTTTGGCCCAAAATTTTGAGGAAATTAAATATTGAATATAAATAAATCATTTAATGTCAATTGACAAAGCAACATATATGCAATTAAAAACTGACGTTCCTTTGTATCGCGGCAACGTAGATGACGTCACGGATGACGTCAATCATCCTCTAGTTCGGGCAAAATTCGTGAAAATGGGTAAATTTTGGTGCGATTCTACAAATATTAGGTTAACGCATATTTTAACCGCTTAGGTTTTTACATATTATATGACCATAAAATATTACCTTTAAATCATCACCTACTATTTTGTGGTTACTGCTTGCGCACTTCTGTTTATTACCAAAAGTTTACACTCCGTCAGTCTGCTGTTTACATACTGGCAAATGGCGACGGATTGGTAAGGGGCGTAATCGAGTATATATTGGTAGTAGGAGAGGCTCCAGTTTAAGTGAAGAGATAAATATCACCGTACATTTTAATAAAATAAAGTATTTCTCTTTAGTGAACAATTTCAATAATATGCAATACTATTTGCATGTTAATTAGTATAAGACGTTCATATCCCCGTATCAGATAGATTTCCCCAGACATTTTTGTAATACATAAAAATGTTGACACTATTCCACTGATTGATAAATATGTGTGACCTGTCTCGTCTAACACTGCTGCTTTGCTGGGCAAGTGTGTCAACAACTGTCTGCATAAATGACTCCGCCTACATTTACCTAGCAGTTTGTCACGTACGCACGTCGGCAAAGTCTTTTGAAGTCTTGATAAAACCGCCCTGTAATGATGACTGACACTTTTAGCGCACCAAATGATCTCTAGCAACGGTCAATCACTTGTCTCCAGCATCAGTTTATTTAGATGGGTAGTGTGAAATTAAATATTGTCAAAAATTCTGAATATAGGTCATTAGTTGCGATTTTGTTTTATACATTTTTATTGAAATAATTTTACAAGTTCTTCAAATGTTTGCATGCTTGCAATTATCTTGGAAGTATCGAAATTTTGTGCATTATTTTTAACATACGAGTCTCTCTGGCTTCAAAAACCTTTAAAGTCACTTTTTAACATTTTTTTTCTTTTGTCAGATGCGGCATTGGTCAGGTATAAAAACAGGTACGCTGACTACCTAACCCTACCGCAGTTATAAAGCATAGCGCATGCTTTACTGTATCATAACATTTGCAAGTTGTAAAAATACAACATACTGCTGTTTCAATTTAAGAAACATTTCTTAAAGTGTCCCTGAAATCAGTCTTGAAATTATGGCATGTTGTTTTTGTTTGTTTGTTTGTTGTTTTTTTTTTTTAGTATTGTTAGTTGTACTAGGAATAGTTTTGCATACTTACCTTGTAAATGATTATGAATTTCAACTTTGTGCTCACCGGTGATATATTGAATTATATTAAATATTATAAAACGAAAATAGCTGGAAAGTTTTTTTAGTCGGCAATTGTACCTATATTTTATGAGTCATAACTTGTGTTGAAACAAATATGAAAATAAGAAACTCGTCGGGAGTATTTTTGTACTGCTATGCAAATTAATTACAGTATATTACAGTACTATTGTACCAATAGTATATGTCATTGACAAAGCTAGGACCTTTTATGAACGGTTTTTACGTGTTCTTGTGTATTCTTTACGTCATAAAAGGAAAAGGAATTCAAATCTATTTTGTGCTTTATGTTGTTATATATATGTATTCTGAATATACAAAATCTGACAATGAAATATGTGGTATTATCCATTAACAGGAAACATAAATACTAGAGTAAATAATCCGGAACAAAGTTTATGTTGATTGTTCACCGCCTTTTCCTATTTTCTTCAATTAAAACAGAATTCTAAGCAAGTTGAAAATATTTTTATCTGAAAACAAATGAGCCGCGTCATGACAAAACCAACATAATGGGTTTGCGACCGGCATGGATCCAGACCAGCATGCGCATTCGCGCAGTCTGATCAGGATCCCTGCTGTTCGCTTACAAACTCTTTTACAAAAGGGAAACTGATAGGGAACGGTATGAATCCTGATCAGACTGCGCGGATGCGCAGACTGGTCTACATCCATGTTGGTCGCAAATTCATTATGTTGGTTTTGTTATGACACGGCTCATTAATTACTAGTTTAATGCCTACGGTAGTTTGAATTATCCGTGTATATACCTTGTAAAAGATACATTGTATTATTTTTGAATTATTTCATTTTATTAGCTCGACTTTTCTATGAAAAGGGGAGCTATCCTACTCGCCCCGGCGTCGGCGTCGGCGTCGGCGTTGGCGTCACACCTTGGTTAAGTTTTTCGTACCACCCCACTTTATTTCAGAAGTATTACAAGTATGGCTTTGAAACTTACCATACTTGTTCACCATCATAACCTCCATCTACAGACAAGAGTACATAACTCTGTCAAGGTTTTTGACAGAATTATGGCCCTTTTTTGACTTAGAAAGTGTATTGAGCTTGGTTAAGTTTTTTGTACCACCTCACTTTATTTCAAAACCATTGGAGGTATTGCTTTGAAACTGACCATACTTGTTTACCATCACGACCTTCATCAACAGACAAGAGGACATAACTCTGTCAAGGTTTTTGACAGAATTATGCCCCTTTTTGACTTAGAAAATACATTGAATATGGGTAAAATCCACTTATTGCCTTAACCCTTTGAGATATTGCTTTGAAACTTTTAATGCTATTTCACATCATTACCCCCATCTGTACGCAAGAGAAGGTAACTCTGTCAAGGATTTGTTTTAAAAATTAAGGCCTTTTATCGACTTAGAATCTTGGTTAAGTTTTTAGTAGTCCACTTTTTGACTGAACTGTTTGAGATATTAATTTGAAAGTTGGAATACTTGTTTACAATCATGATTCCCAAACATGTCCAGGAGAAGGTAATTCTGTCAAAGATTTTATTTGAATTATGGCCCTTAACTGTCAATGTTTTGTATTATAGGTAAGCACTAAAAAACTTAAAAAATCTAAAAAAATTCATTCCTATCCACTTGTTCACTTTACCATAAATTATGTCATATAAACATTGCTGTAATATTCAAGGGTATCAAACAACTAGTTCACTTTAAAAATACAGAGATTCTTGTATTGCCTTTTACTGCAAAAACTTTTTTTATTGGCAAGCAATAAAAAAGTCGAGCGCGCTGTCTTACGGACAGCTCTTGTTAATTCAATTGTGTTTTAAACGTCATCTTAAAATAATAAAAGTAAGTTCTCCGCGGTGACCGCCGACAAATATCATATGAAACATGGAAATATCCAGTATTCAAAACCAAAGTTTTGGAAGATTCAAAATTATTTGTTTCGTATAAATTCCAGCTGTGTTAAATGCTGTGGAATATTAAAGACATTGCTAAATCAAAATACCGAGTATAAAGACATTAATAAATCCATATCATATCTAACACATTGTTGTTTTACAAGCAATGTGATCTCCCTTTTTAATGTCATGACATTTTGGCGGGAATTCAAGGGAGGCTAATCATTTGACTATTTCGGCAGTTTGACAGTAATTCGATTGTTTTATTAATCAAAAGCGAATTGCAAAATTCTTATTTTGAATATGATAGATAATGTTTATATTTATTTTTAAAAAAATGCAAAAGAAACGTTAAAAAGTCTACAAAAAAGGACGAAATTATAGGCTGATTCCGGTAATCTTTCGCCGATTCCGACAGTATGGCAGTAACTTGCCGATATCAAATATCTTGTTTTATTAATCAATAGTGATTATATTTACAAAAATCTTTTTACATATCATTGATATCGTGTTTTATTAAATGAAAGATGCAAGAAAATTAATTAAAAGTTCATAAATAAGCAAACTGCAGGCCGATTCCGGTAATCATTCGCCGATTCCGGCAGTTTACCCGTTTTCGCCGATTTTAATATTTTTTCACTGTTATTTAAAAGCGATTTTTTCACATTTCCTTTGGAGGTCAATCATAACGTTTAAGTTTTATAAAATCAGGCAAAACAAATATTATTAAAATGCATAAATAACCAAATCACAGGCCCTCGACGAATCCGGCAGTATGGCAGTAACTCTCCGATCTTAGATCTATTGTTTAATCAAAAGTGATTTTATTTACCAAAATCTTTTGACATATCATTTATAATGTTTATATCTTATAAAAATGCATGAATATTCTTTAAAAGTTTAATAATAACAAAATTACAGGTTGATTCCATTAAAGTCCCCACCGATTCCGGTAATTCGGCCGATTCCGGTAGGTCGAGTAACCGAGGCATACATCTTACAGATTATGTGAAAATCAATATCATATAATAAAAATGATGATGATAATGATAATCGTACACGTTCTTAAATATAAGTTCTGAACTTTTCTAAATCGGTAAATACATAAGACCACTGAATAAAAAATATTGTCATAGCGGTAATATTACGAATATGTGCCTCTTCGTACAAACTTTTAATAGATTTTGGTGGTTAGCTCTTTTAAACTGAAGAAGGTTCAGTGCCGACAATTTAACTATGAACTTGTCAAAGTAATTGTATATTTTATAAAACAGAAGTAACTAAACACATACTAGTATCTTAAATAGGGTAAGTGAATTACATAAATAAAAGCTATTGTATATGTCTTCCTTTTCGTTTGTTTTACTATACTTCACGGTGACTAATTATTTATGTCTGCAATCGTAATTGAACGGTAAAAATGTACATCAAATGTATCATCAACTCATTTGTATTACACGATAAACAATTTAGAAAATACATATGCGTCATTGTATTTTTAATTACTCGAAGCGATGCGCTCAAAATAATACGTGACGTTGATGACGTCAAACTGAAGTATTTTGTTTTCTTGATAGGTTGTTTTGATTTATTATAACTTTATTGTCTAAACAGATATCTGACTCAATCTTGCTTTATTTGTTATAAATAAAGCTTAATTTTGATATATCAAAATTTTGAATATTTTTTGCGGATGGGCCAAAATCGACCCAAAACGTACCTAGCCCTTTGTCAGAAACATTGATTAAATGATTTCTAAGTCAAGTTTGAATATGGGTCACCAGGGATCAAAAACTATGTCACAGCCCATATATGAAAAAACTTTGTTAGCATTCTAGAGATTACTGTTTTGCACCGAATATCCTGGGAATTGTTTTTCTTTTTAGATGACTTCTTGCTCAAGTTCAAATATGGGTTATCTGGGAGTAAAAAAACAGGGTCACAGAGCCCAAATATGGAAAATCCTGGTTAACGCACGGGAAGCTACTGTTCCGGTACAAATATCCTTGAAATTGGTCAAAAAGGTTAATCAGATGATTTCTATGTCAAGTTTGAATATAGGTCATCTAATGTCAAAAACTAGGTCACAACCCATATATGGGAAAACCTTGTTTACTTTTGCACTATTTCAGGTGCAGATATGAACATTATAATATCAGTTTAAGATTCTGAAATTTTTTTTTGCTTTTCATTCATTGCTAACAATATTGATATAGAGACTTAAATATCAGTTGAGCAATATAAGGGCCATGATGGCCCTCTTGTTGAAATACTCCTCTAAAAAACCTGAATTTAGATACCGTATTGAAGCAATGTCAAATTGATCTTATTAAGAAGTTTGTTCAAGTCAGGTTCCTGTCTTTCATGTAAAAAGGATTTCCTTACATACATAGTAAACACTATCTTAAAACATTGTCTGGTCGACTTACCAAGATTGAATTATAGCTGTGGACCAAAAATTGCCCTGCCCTAGATATGATTTCTTTATAATTTATATAAATATAGTAAAAACTTGAAAACTGTTCTCAAAATAACAAAGGCTAGAGCTTTTATAGTTGGCAGGAGAATTGTCTCGTGGACTTCCTTCAAGTTTGCCATAATGGGTCAAGATTGGCCCTTGATCTGGGTGCCATAATGGGTCAAGATTGGCCCTTGACCTGGGTGACATTGATTTTCCCGACATGTATAGTAAACATGTAGTGAAAATCTTTAAAAAAATCCCCCACACTTGTAGATCAAAAGTCATGATATTAATTTTTATAAAAGTACACTGATTTCCATGTCCAGTCAACAATTCTATCATTCCTAGATGGATTTAAAAATTGATATGCATGTATTTGACATAATAATGATGATGTGTTGTGTGGGTCAGTAGCTATAAGGAGAAAGTGAATTATGTTACCATGGTTTGTAGTTTTTGTAAACTAAATATGATAAAAGTGAAGACCTAGTGCTCATGTTCTTTAATGTTCAGCCTGAAATTTCAGATATAAAACCTATTGTTGACTAATTTATTTCAGGTTCCTGCTTCCAGTTTCTATGATTATTTGCAATGACATCATGGCATATATGTTTGGATTTTTCTTTGGAAAAACACCTTTAATTAAACTGTCCCCAAAGAAGACATGGGAGGGCTTTATTGGTGGTGGCATCTCTACAATTGCATTTGGAATGTGTGTATGTATCTTTGTTCATGCTCAATGATGTTAAATGGTTTGTTTTTTAGCACACCTTTAGTACTTTATGAGTATGCTTTGACCAATAGACACCAAACTTGCTGTTTGGGTAGCTTATATTAAATTGCAGCTTGGTATTGCTACTTATATATTTCGGAGCACGGTCAAGTCACTTGTTTTCAATAGAATTTCCAGCTTCTACTCAATAACTTATTTACACTTTTACCTATTGATTCTTAACTTGGCATGTGTGTAGCTTACATGATAATAAAGCCTGACATTGATACTCAGGGTATCTGGTATATATTTATTTTGAACTAGTGAAACCAACTTTCTGTGTTGGTACAAAAAACAGCATCATTTTTTCTTAACTGCCATATTTCATTCCTAATTCCTGTCACATCAATACTTGGTCGTTGAAAACCTGGTTTTTGTTGCATTGTGGGGCTTTTTGATAATAAATAGATTGACTTCATATTTAGACACAACATTCTTTAGGATAAGACCTTCATGTATATCAAACTCAAATTGACATGGGCTGATATATGACCTTGATTTTGAAGGTTAAATTATTGAATTTTCACTGATTTTTTTTTGCTATTATTACCTGCTACTTGGTAGTAATAAACAAATTATCTTCATACTTAGACAAGACAACCTTTTGGACAAGATCTTCTTAAAGGTTGAACTGACATTGACTGTCAAGGTCAAATTATTATATTTTAGTTAAATTATCATAATTTTGTAATGTCTGTATGGATTTGATTTATACTTGGACAAAACAAGACCTACTTTCTTGTCCTTTGATGTACAGCTATATAATTCGGACCAGGTGTACAGTTTCAGATGTAAAACTGAGTATTGAACATTATAGAAATTTTTAAAGATTTGTTTAAACCTTTTATTTGATTACTTTTAGAAAAGGTAAAAAAAAGTCGAAGGTTGCCCTGGTGGATCTTGTTTACATACAGTTTGATAAAGATGACAAAATACTTGTTGAAGAAAAATTGAAGCTGTGCTTATTTGATTTTTGCAGCTTGCATGGTTCCTGATACAGTTTGATTTGTTGGTATGCCCAATCATGTATGATGATGACAAAGGTCAGATGTCAATGGAATGTGAGCGTCATCCAGTATTTCTTCTAGAAGAGTATAATCTTCCAGAAACCATTACCATCTTCTTTAAACTGGTATGTTTAATCAATATAGTGATAAACTTGTTGTTTACTAAATCAGTTATAAATAAAGAAGAAAAAGTAGTAATATGCACTGTACAATCTATATAAGTATTTAGTTTTCAGCTCACCTGAGCTGACTCAGGGTGAGCATGTAGGATTGTTAAAATTATTGTCTGACATTTGGGTCTGTCAGCCATCCCCATTTAGTATATTGAAACTCTTGTGGTCACATTTTTGCCTCAATTGTCACCAAATTGTCAGGATGTTTGTCTTAGTGATTGCTCAGACATGGTTTGAGTTAGACGAAAAAACTGGGTCACCGGAGACAAAATTAGAAAAGTCTTGGTAACACTATAGAGGCTACTTGTTTGGTCCAGATATTTTGATAAAATTAGTCGGAAAAGTTGTTTAAATGATTTCTGGCTCAAGTTCGAATATGGGTTATTAGGGTCAAAAACTAGGTCACAGAGCCTGAATATGGAAAACCTTGTTAGCACATTTTCAGCACAAATACCCTGACATTTTGTAAGATAGGTTGGTTAGATGATTTCTTGGTCAATTTTGAATATATATATATACCATGGCAACGGGGGGGACGTCTCAAAATTGTCAGAAATCCCTATTTTCTGTTGATTTTTCCATCAAAACTGATTTCAGAGTGCTGCAATTTCTCAATGGATTTAGAACCTTTTCAGTGTTGGTTACACATTACCCTAAGGTTGACCTGAGCCTTTCACAAGTTCAAAATTTTCTTGGCCCCCTTGATATATCTATTTGATAGCGGATGGCGCAGAAAAAGTGATTACATTTTTAACACCGGCTGTCAAATGAAAACAAGTGTTTGGGGTCTAAATAAGGTATTTTCTCACTAAATAAGGTATTTTCTCAAGGGGGGGGGGGGGGGGATGAAAAGACGTCTATATGAAGTAATGGATTAAGGTCAAATATGGGTCATCTGGGATCAAAATCTAAGTCACACAGTCCAATTATGGAAAAACCTTGTTAGCACTTTAGAGGAAACATTTTGAACCTAAATATCTTTTAAATGGGTCAGAAAGATTGTTTAGATAAATTCTAGCTCATTACTTCTCTTTGACCATTTTAAAAAGCAGAATCAGAATAAACAAGACTATGTTTTTGGCATGATCGCCCTAGTTTAATTTTTCCTGCAAGTTGTATTAGTTATTATAATGAGATTTCGAAGCAATTTTGAGCAAGCATACACAATGTCATTAATTTAACAAGTTGAGTAAGGTTATATTATGTGAGCTTCCAGCAAGCTATAATTACTTTTTACGCTTTAAATCATAGCTCACATAAATTAGTAATGAAACTCATGTGGACTTATAATAGACAAATTTTCTTTATCAAACTAAAAGAAATAGGTAATCAAACTTTTCTATGCGGCAGTTAAAACAAGATGAAAAGCACATTTGAGGATGTCTTTAAGATTTGTATAATGCAAATATGTCATAAGATTTATGCTTAGTTGCAGATTATACTATATTTACGGAGTTGCAAAAGCAGCATGGGCATGTGATTATATATTTATGTAGCTCTTTTAATGAACCAAAAAAACTCATGTCATATAAAGGTTATCATGTACTGCATGATTTGGTATAATGTTCATTTAGTTATATTGTCTATAAAAAGGAATTAGTAGTACATTGCTGAAAATATCAACTTGATAAGTTAATGTATTAGTACAAAAATTGCCAAACTACTTGTATCAGTTAAGTCACAACTTGTATACAAATATTGTTATTATATTATAGGTAGGAATACCATGGTATACAGTAAAGATGTATCCATTCATGTTACACTCTGTCTCCATGTCTATATTTGCATCTGTCATTGGACCATTTGGAGGATTCTTTGCCAGTGGATTCAAACGAGCATTTAAAATAAAGGTAAACAGAAGTTTCCTATACATAAAATAAATGGAAGATTGAAATGAAGTTGTCTGTTTTCTGTCCAGCCTTCTGTCTGCATCCATAACTTGGAATCTGTTTGGTCAATTTTCTTGAAACTTGGCAGGATTGTACATGTATAAGTAGGGAAATGAAGCCCACCCAATATCAAAATAAACTCATGGGTTTTTGAGTTATGACCTTTGTTATTGGAATAAAAAGACATTTTAATGAAATATTTATTTCCATTTTTGAGCCAAAATTTACAATTAGTAAGATTGTTATGAAACTGAGCGTGAATGTAAATGAGCCGCGTCACGACAAAACCAACATAGTGCGTTTGCGACCAGCATGGATCCAGACAAGCCTGCGCATCCACGCAGTCTGATCAGAATCCATGCTGTTCGCTTACCAACTCCTTTACGAGTAGAGAAACTGATAGCGAACAGCATGGATCCTAATCAGACTGTGCGGATGGGCGGGCTGGTCTGGATCCATGCTGGTCGCAAATGCATTACGTTGGTTTTGTCGTGACGCGGCTCAAATGATAATAAGAAATGATGGTCATGAATTACTTTCTGATTACACATCATACACTCATGACCTCTTGTAAGTTTGAAATAGGTCAATCAGCCAATCTCACTACTGGTGATCTAGATTTTTTTAAAGATGATGGCAGGAATGAGTACTTCAATAAGAAAATTGTTCGCCATAAATATCAACACTTTAGTTCATTTCTTTGTTTCAGTTATGGTTTTTAAAGAAATATGGTAGAATTTTAAAGAGTGTTTTTATTCATGCCAAATATTAAGGTGCTTTGTTAGTTTTCAATCAAAATTAATATATATACATGTATATTATATTGATCAGAATATGATGAACGTGAATGACATCTACTGTTGTAGATGTCGTGGAAAGTCTTTTTGTTATTTAAGAAATGGATAATGTTCACTATTTATACTATGTAAGTGCATATAGGAAAGGTAAAAATGTATGTACATGTATAACTATATTGAACTGTAATGATTTAGATTATTAGGATTATGGTGATGTCATGGAGATCTGAAGTTCTGTATATTCATGTATATTACATTTGGCATTGTTAAAAAATCAGTATTAATACTACGATTATATTCATTCCTAGTATAATTGCTGGTATGATTGGATTCATTGAATCTGATCATTTGATTGTAAATTTGCATGCTTCACAACTGAGTTGAATTGTAATTCCTAGTATAATACACTAATTGAATGATTTAAGACATTTTGTAATCTTACAATGATATGTGAATATTCCAAAAGGATGTTCTTTTCTATAAGAACTATTTTGCTTGACACAGTTTTTAGGACTTTGTATCATTATAATGTAGACACCAAATTCATTTTATTTTATTAGCTGAGGTATTTAATACTTGCAGAGGTTTTGATGAAATTATTTGTATCATACTGTACAAGATATCAATTTAATGAAGATACTGATATTTCAGGACTTTGGAGACACAATACCTGGTCATGGAGGGATCATGGATAGATTTGACTGTCAGTTTCTCATGGCAACATTTGTTCATGTTTACCACTCTAGTTTTATAAAGTGAGTATTCTCTAATTACATTCCGATGCAGCTTTCTAATGTTCAACATCTGCTTGATTTTCAAACATATTTTTGTCTTTCACGTCATTTGAGCAAATTAAATGAATTTGGGGGCCTTCTAACTTTAGTTTTCTTAAAATTGGCAGAAAGTAAAAGGGAAATGAGGACCACATAGTGCTTTCAAAGTCAACCCATGATTTTTAGCTTCACTTTTTTTCTAAGACAAAAAATAGAGGTATTGTTGCAGTCCTGTTGCCATTACCGTCCGCTAACTTGTACTTTGATCATCAGTTTTTAAGTTTTTGGTGTAATGTCTTCATACTTGGCAACAACAATACTTGGGACAAGACCTTGAATTAGATCTGACTAAACTTGATCTTCATGGTTAAGTGTCTAAATTTTGCTTGATTTTTGCTATTAATGAGTATAGCTTTGTTATTTTTTAAATGGATGGTGATCAAACTTCAACACAACAATCTTTTAGGATAGACTTTCAAGTTAGTCATATTGACCATTTCTTATAAATGACGACCTCAAATTATTGAAATTTTCTTTTTTTTTTGCTGTTTGAGGCTATTACTTTGTTATTAATGAATGGATGGACTTAAGACACAACATTCTTTAGGATAAGACCTTCATATATGTCAAACTCAAATGTTAGAATTTCGAATAATCAATCAAATTTGTATTGATTTATATTGAGATAAAAACAGGACCGCCCATCTACCTCGGATAATGCCAGGTATTCGAATAAAGGGTTGTTGAATAACTGGGGTCGGACTGTACTTTAAATTTTGATTACTTTAAACAAATTTACATTCAGGCATCTATTGCCCTGCCTTTAAAAGATTGTTTTATCTGGAATGCATGTTAATATATGTGGTCTAATTATTTTGCTTTTCTGTTTTTATCAACTTGGCATTGTTGTTATTTTCAGACTACCAAATACCTCCAAAGTTATACAGAGTGTTTTACTGATGAGTGTTGATCAGCAGCGACAAGTGTTTAATATGCTAAAAGATAAATTATCTGCTCGTGGAGTAATATAATTCAGTAACAAAGTCATTGTAGTAGATATTGCCTAGTCATTGATTGTCAGGCTTTATATATATTATGTAAATTTTTCTACCACCATAAACCATTGAATTTATTGTTTCTTCATAGTTCTTGGCACATATTTAATCTGATTTTCTTTTCTTATGTAATTTTTTGATCTCTTGTCAAAATAATTCTTACTAATAAAGTAAGACATAAATGATTTGATTTAATAAATGTTTAATAAATCATGATTAAAAGAATATAATGAGAGATGAAATTTAAAACAATAATTTGCAAATTATGTACTGATGTGTTTTTTAACATTTGAAACAGTTCAGTTGTGATCACTTATATCTTACATCTTGATTTTCTTGAAATAGCAGATTTCATTAATAAATAGTATCCACTGATTTTCCATAGTATTAAAATTACACAATATGTTTTTATGCCACTGCAATCTGCGATATGGTGGTATATAGGGTTTTACCTTTGTCTGTGTGCATGTGGATATTTATGAAATAATTTGAGCACATTATAAGGACATTATGATTCACACCATGTATATAATTATGATTTTGAATCATAAATGTTTTTTATGTTTTCAGGAATATGTAATGCTTAATTGAAAAGATAGTATTTTAGGAAAATAACTGTTACTGTATTTCAAAGTTTTATATAGCTATGTATTGCAGTAGTATACTGAAATTTTCATCAAGTTTTATCAAGAATAATTTTATTTTGAATCAGTTATTATACTTGGCCTTTGTATTTTAACATTAGACACATCTGTACAGTGTCTTTCATTTGATATGCTGAAATATGACCTTGACCCCAAATACACTAGACACAACTACATTATGGCAAAGTTCAATTGTATCAAAACAAAAATAAAATCTACTTCTGTCCCTACTATTTAGTGTTGTATTAATGCAGTGGCATAGCATTTTTTAGCTCGACTATTCGATAAGAATAAGTAGAGCTATTGCAGTCACCCGAGCGTCGGCGTCGGCGTCGGCGTCGGCGTAACCACTTATGTTAAAGTTTTTGTAATAGTTCAAATATTTTCAAAGTCCATTGACATATGGCTTTGAAACTTTGCACACTTGTTCACCATCATGAGCCCAACCTGTAGACAAGAGGAGGTAACTCTATCAAGCATTTTGACAGAATTATGCCCCTTTTTCGACTTAGAATTTATGTTAAAGTTTTTGTAATAGTTCAAATATTTTCAAAGTCCATTGACATATGGCTTTGAAACTTTGCACACTTGTTCACCATCATGACCCCAACCTGTAGACAGGAGGAGGTAACTCTATCAAGCATTTTGACAGAATTATGCCCCTTTTTCGACTTAGAATTTACGTTAAAGTTTTTGTAATAGTTCAAATATTTTCAAAGTCCATTGACATATGGCTTTGAAACTTTGCACACTTGTTTACCATCATGAACCCAACCTGTAGACAGGAGGAGGTAACTCTATCAAGCATTTTGACAGAATTATGCCCCTTTTTCGACTTAGAATTTACGTTAAAGTTTTTGTAATAGTTCAAATATTTTCAAAGTCCATTGACATATGGCTTTGAAACTTTGCACACTTGTTCACCATCATGACCCCAACCTGAAGACAGGAGGAGGTAACTCTATCAAGCATTTTGACAGAATTATGCCCCTTTTTCGACTTAGAATTTACGTTAAAGTTTTTGTAATAGTTCAAATATTTTCAAAGTCCATTGACATATGGCTTTGAAACTTTGCACACTTGTTCACCATCATGAACCCAACCTGTAGACAGGAGGAGGTAACTCTATCAAGCATTTTGACAGAATTATGCCCCTTTTTCGACTTAGAATTTACGTTAAAGTTTTTGTAATAGTTCAAATATTTTCAAAGTCCATTGACATATGGCTTTGAAACTTTGCACACTTGTTCAACATCATGACCCCAATCTGTAAACAGTAGGAGGTAACTCTATCAAGCATTTTGACAGAATTATGCCCCTTTTTCGACTTAGAATTTACGTTAAAGTTTTTGTAATAGTTCAAATATTTTCAAAGTCCATTGACATATGGCTTTGAAACTTTGCACACTTGTTCACCATCATGACCCCAACCTGTAAACAGGAGGAGGTAACTGTATCAGGCATTTTTTTTACTATCAAGCACTAAGAATAGTCGAGCATGCTGTCCTACCGACAGCTCTTGTTCACAAATGCAGTCCTGTTGATAACTAGAGATAAACTGCATTGTTATTTACATTAAAAAAAAGACATTTTAGATACAGTTAATCTGTTAACTACTGTACATGTATGTTAACAATAATTTGTCTATACCATTGATATATATATATATGTAGCTGGGTCTACTTGACTAGACTATGTTCTGATGGCTGTTTTATTTAGCATTTTCATTTCAGGATCTTCTAATTCCCTATCCCATCCTTAAAGTTTGACTGGATGGTATATTCTTCAAACATATTTACAAAAATGCCAATGTAATTGAATTTGTGAAGTGTTTACTTTTAGAGTTAAATTTAATGATATAGAAAATAGATAAGTTTAGTACATTCATTTGCATGTTTGTCTATTGTGAAGATGTATAATCATGCCCCCTTTTTAAAGAAAAGTAGGTATATTGTTTTGCTAATGTCATTCGGAATGTCTGTTGGTCAATCGACCATTTCGTTTTTTGCACAGTAACTAAGGAACAATTTGACCCACAGTCTTCAAACTTCATAGGATGATCACCCTTATTAAGAACAAGACCTTTATGGCTTGAAAGTCACAGTGACCTTGAATGTTTAAACTGTTTCCCCTCAATAACTAAAGAACCACTTGTCCCACAGCTTGCAAGCTTCATAGGATGATCACTCTCCTTGAGTAAAAGAATCTTTTTCTGTTTGTGAACAGATGCATAAAAGTCATGGTCACAGACACCTATACTGCAGAAACCTTTCCTGCTCAATTAGAGTCAATAACTAGATAATCAACTGACTAATAGCTGTCTTACTACATAGGATGACCACCCTCATTGATTAGGAAAGCCCATTGTTTACAGGTATCGGTGCATTAAGGTCATGTTCATAGACCTTGACTAGTTTATGTATAGAATTCCTGTACAATGTAATATGTTACCAGGACCAGGAAAATCTTGTTTTGACATACTAATTTGTTTTATCTGAATTATTTTCTACTTGTCCATATGATATTTATAAAGTAATTCTTGAAAAAAAATTCACTTGTCCGTGCAAGCTGTCTGACAACATGGGGAATTATAAAGGACAATTGATATTGCAGTTCTTACTTTTCTTATATTTTGTGTATTTAAAAGATACAATTAAATTTAGACGTGAAATTAAAATGAAAATGAAAAAATTATCATAGTTATAGACATGCCCTTTGGGACTTTGACAGCTTAACTGTACAAATGTGATAAGTTTTGAAATATTGACATTCATTATTGCATTGTTTTTAAAGATGCATATTTGATTAAACTATAAAGTTAAATATACCAGAGATGGCAGAGTAAATCTGTAATATCAAAATCATCTAAGTTTAAATTACCTTGTATACAAGTAAGATTGTGATATTTTCATGGGGCCAAAAAACTAAATGCATTTGAATTTATTATTGTATTGTAGCAAAATTAGCTTCTTGCAAACTTAAATATTTTGTCTCTGTGTCACATATGAACCTTATAAAATACATGTTTGTTTATTCTAAACTGAGAGTGGTGAAGGTAGCTGGCATCAGACCACTTGTCATGACATTCAACATCAATTCTAGAATGATGTTTTTTTTGGCCAAACAAATTTTTCTCAGGCAAAGTGTATTAAAATTATTAAAGATTTTTTTTGACAAAGTTGTAAATATATGACATACAATCCAAACGAGATGTCAATTTTTAATGTCATATAGTAGTTGTTATTTTACAAACCAGCCAGTTCAAGGTGTATGCACATTATGATGAGTTTTTCTGTAACTTTATGCTCACAGACTTAGCCTACTTACACTAAATGAACATGGTATACAGGAGCCATTGTGCTCATTTTCCTAACCAAGACCCAATGGTATGAATGTAAATTTCAAGTTACTGATTTCATAATTTAGGGGAATATTTTTTATTTTTACCCATGTATTGAATGATTTGTCCTCAGCCTTGTTTTAGTAAATTGACTTTAACTGAAACAGTAAAGTCCAATTCAACCTGTTGCTGTTTATATTAACTACAGAGATAAATTAAAAAGAATCTGTGTGTTTAGTTAGAGCAGACAAACATAAATGAAGTATTTTGATATTGAGATTCCTGAAAGTAAGCATGACCACCTATATCAGGGGAAATATTTAACTATACTGGTACTATGTATATTACTTTGTGTGCTTTTATTGTACAAGTTCATTTTGTAGACATTCTTTATTTCATGTAATATAGAAGTTCACAATTCAATGTGCAATAATTATAATGTGATATTGTCTGTGTGTTGTAAAAGTAGGGCCATAATTAATATTATATCTATCAGTCGTCTCTTCCATTAGTATGTCACTGAAAACACTGTACTGAGATATTGTTGTCAAACAGTTTATTCTTTTTAAGATAGAGTTGTATTAGAAGGTAATTGAAATGTTTAAAGATATTGCCATAGGATGTTTACGAGATACCAAAAAAACAAGTACTTTTCTTATTATGGCTAATATAACAATGTGTTTCCATATGCCTGTTATATATGAGACATTTCATCAAATTACTGCTTTCAAAACTTTTATAACCAATTACGGGTGACATTTTAAGCTCAGGATGAGCTTTTAGGATTGTTGAATGTCCGTCATCAGTGCACATTTAGTTTTGTAACACACTAAGGGTCACATTTTTGTTTCAATTCTTATCAGTTATCAGAGTTTCAACATGGGTCATCTTGGATGAAAAACTAGGTCACAGGAGCTAAAAATAGAAAATCTTGTTAACACTCTAGTGGCTACTGTTTTGGTTCAAATATCCTTGACTTGGTCAGAAAGGTTGTTAAGTTTAAATATCATTCATCTGGGGTCAAAAAATACATCACACATGCCAAATATTGGTAAACCTTGTTAACACTATAGATTGTTCAAATGATTTCTAG